TAGTTCCTCAAAATCCTTGACAACGTTGCTTAGAAATTTTGGTTCAAAACCTCATCTGATTTTAATCTGTTATGCTACCTGTTAAGTTTCGCGAGATTATAAATGTCATGGAGTTATATAAAAAGGAGGGACAGCTAGGGACACTGGAAGTACTTGTAAGGCTATCTGTTAAGATTGCATGAAATACTAAAAAGTCATGAAATCCATTATCGTTGTGCTAGCTTCACCTTAGAGTAAAATGACGACTAAAGTCACTGAAGCAATTAAACAAAAGTTTTTGGTAGAATACCTTAAATCAGGAACTATTCCAGAAGGTTTTTACATTCATACTATGAAAGATGGTAGAGTTCAGTTTAGAAAGATAAAGCAACCATTAGATAAAGAAGGAATTTTGAGAAAGATTAAACTTCATGAGGACAACATTGCTGAACTTAAGAAGAAGTTAGAAGAGTTGGATAAAGGAAGAGAGTTATAAAGCAATGAATTCAACAGGGTGAAAAAACAGGGTGAAAAAAGAGGTGAGATCTCACCACTTCACCTAAATCTATTTTTGTGCTATGTTTTCATACGTGTGAGGGTGGTGATATCATTAATTTTTAAGTTTATTTTTTATTTTATTTTTATTTTATTTTTATATAAATGACGAAAACTATTGAGATAACAAACTACAACGGTCATGAGTTCAAGAATTTGTTCTTCGTTCCTCGTGAAAATACATTCTATCAGATACGAGGGAGAAAGGGTAAAGTTAGTTTGAGCGTTTATGAAGGAATGAAGAATGGAAAGTTTATACAAGCATACGATACAAACGGTAAACGTGTTTCATTAGCTTTGTCAAAACTTACTAACATTCATTTTGACAGTGACTTTGACTCTGACGATTGGAGCGACAGCAGCGATACTGAAGAATATGAACTATTGTGTGAAGCACAGCAATGGGAAGAGTTGCAATACTTTTGTAAGTGAGAACGTTTATTTTTTACAGTAGTGAGGTGAAGTGGTTGGCGGCTTTATAAATATTTAAGGTTAAGTTGGTGTTTGTGTTTGTGTTGTAAAATAAACTTTAACGGTTTTCTAAAGTGTCAAACCGTTATCTTGGACAAGGTGGAACGCAGTGCCGCCGTACCCAAGATAGGTATACTAACTAACATTGCTGAACTTAAGAAGAAGCTAGAAGAGTTGGAGAAAGGAAGAGAGTTATAAAGCAATGAATTCAACAGGGTGAAAAAACAGGTGAAAAAAGAGGTGAGATCTCACCACTTCACCTAAATTTATTTTTGTGCTATGTTTTCATACGTGTGAGGGTGGTGATATCATTAATTTTTAAATAAATGTGGGAACAAAAATAAAGCATATCTACTCAACAGGAATGAGATCCTTACTGACTATGTATTCGTTTAATGCTTGATGAAAACAATGGTACATATTATCGTATGGGTATACACAACGTCTGTTTCCATCGTCGTCGTATATGTAGAGCTCAAATCCAGTCCAACCTTCTTTTGTACAATATGTAGCTTTATTTAAGTATGCATTTATGTAGATAAGGCAATTTTCTTCATCGCTCCAGAAATAATTTTTCGTCTTTGTTGAAATAGTTTTCGTTCCTCTGCGACCATAAGGAATGTATGCAATGAATTTTGCGTCATATGGGATTGTAATATATTCAGGGTTTCTTTCATCGTCAATGGGTCTGTCTTTGTTAAAATGCATGTTTCTCAGTTTTACTTGAGTTTTGAATAGTTCACGGAAACGTTCTGGGAAAGAGTCATAGTAAATGTAGTCGGACATGTCTTTGTAATGAAATAAAAAAGTTGGAAAATAAATAAAATAAGGTTATTTTTTATTTAGTGAAGTCGTTAGTGAAGTCGTTTATGTGTCAGATGGTTTTGTAAATATTTAAGGTTAAGTTGGTGTTATGGTTGTGTTGTAAAATATACGTTACAGGTTTCGTAAAGTGTCAAAACCGCTAAGTGGTGTACGGAGGCGCGCAGTGCCACAGTACACAACTTAGGGATACTAACTATTATTACGCTGTGAATGTGTCAACAGCGGTCATGCCTGTAACTGTATCCCATATTTGCCACAACCTTTCTGTATCTGCATTTGTGTATTTCGGTTTCAGCTGATACATTTGATATGGCGTGTAATTTGTTCCAGTTAATGGATTAATTGGGAGATCTTCATGCGGTGTGTTATTATTGTACTCCCAAATAAAGGCAGGAATAGCCTGAATGCTTTGGCAGCGCTCCAATGTCGGCCAGAATCTCTCAATCTTCCCATTTTGGTAGGGAGAATGAGAGTCTGTATGCCGCCATTGGACGCCCCAAAGATCAAGTAGATCTTGAAAGGCGCCCCTATTTTCTGAACCGTTGTCGGTCCAGAAACAATAAGGGGCGCCAAATTCAATGAAGGCGGAAGCCGCAACGTTCGCTGTCGTCGCTGCCAGCATATCTGGTATTTGTATACACGCTAGGACTTTGCGGCTAAAATCGTCGATTATGCCATAAATATACTGGCCACGAACACCCCTAAAATAATGAACATCTGCGTGCCAGATAAGATTGGGTGAAAGCGCCCAATATCTTACTGCTGTTTCTGGCCCGGCATGCTCTAATCGCGTCTTGGTGAAATGATTTTCTTTGAAGTATCTGCGTACTTCTCTATAAGATACATCAATTTGTTGTAATTTCAAACGTTTCCATTGTTTTGTTTGACCACAGGGAAAGGCCCAGTGGTCATGTATCACAGCAAGAGCTTTGATTTGGTCGTAGGGATTGACCCTACGACCTTTCTTGCCTTTAGGCAATGGGATATTCTGTAAGCTAAATTGATTTTGTAAAAAAGATTTTGAAACATCTAAATATTTGAAATCATTTGATTGAAGGGTTGGGGCGATGGGAACATGGGTGCAAGCTTCTTCCCATGTCATTTTACCTTCTTCAATCTGATTGGAAATACCAATTAGGTAAATTCGATCGACATACCCTTTGTAAGGATTCATTCTAATGAAGTACGTTAACAATCAAAATATTCTATAAGTGTCTAGTATGGAATTCAAAAGAAAAAAGAAAATGGTAACGTAAATAAATGTATTATGAAATAATTTATAATTAAAATGAAAAAAAGAAAAAATAATAAGTAAAGTGACTGGAAATGAAAATCAGTGTACAGTTTTATTTTTTTCTCGCTGTGAAACGTATTCGGTCTTTTTTTTAAAAATTAATTTTTTGTTAGAGATAAGAGCTAAAACTCGGTAAACAACTTCTTTATGTCTAGAAAATTATATCTTGCCTTTTATTTTTTTCTCGCTGTGAAACGTATTCGGTCATTTTTTTTAAAATTAATTTTTTGTTAGAGATAAGAGCTAAAACTCGGTAAACAACTTCTTTATGTCTAGAAAATTATATCTTGCCTTTTATTTTTTTTCTCGCTGTGAAACGTATTCGGTCTTTTTTTTAAAAATTAATTTTTTGTTAGAGATAAGAGCTAAAACTCGGTAAACAACTTCTTTATGTCTAGAAAATTCTATCTTGCCTTTTATTTTTTTCTCGCTGTGAAACGTATTCGGTCTTTTTTTTAAAAATTAATTTTTTGTTAGAGATAAGAGCTAAAACTCGGTAAACAACTCCCCCATGTCTAGAAAATTTAACATTCGTCTCCCATTTTTATATATTTGGTTTAGAATGTTCGAAAATGCGTAATATGGTCATTAATATTAATTGAAAAGAACCTTGAATTAATTCAATCTGATCTCACAAAATATTTTAAATTACAAACTTTGTAGTTTGAATAGATAATTGGTAATAAACTCAAATAACTAGTTTATTTTTGAATAAAAATTATTTGAATGTATTCAATTTTGTGAATTTTCCTTCAAAAATCAAGTTTAAATATCTTATTTGCCATATAATTATAAATACAATGAAACATATTCGAAATTGAAAAGAATGACTTTTTCTGTTCTTTCAATCATTCAATTTGAATTTTGCAATATTGGATTTCTCATTAGATAGCTATTAAAAACAACAAGCAATTTAACTTACATTCAAATTTATTTGTGTTATATTCAATCTTCTCAAAACTTATAATTTTCGGCTATAGCATGATTATATGCTATATAATATAATAAACCTATAATAGTATCATTCTTTCAATTATTTGAAGAGAAAACCGAAAAAATCTATTTTCGGTCTATAACAATATTGAAAAGTGTGATGAGACTTGCAAAATTCATTAACATTTACTCTTATTTGAATTATTTTATGGTTTTATAATTGGAAGAAATTTTATTGTACAACCATACTTCATTTCAAAAAGATACTTCATTAAAAATTCATATCGTAAATAAAAAATATACCTAATTGATTATTATAAGAATAGCATATTGAATGTGATGCATTGAATTGAAAATAACCAGTCATATTCAATTCTTCAATTATTTCTGAAATATTGTATACAAAAGTAAAGGAAATATTTATATGATCGATATTTTATATTTATAAAGAATGAAATTCTCTATTATTTGAACCAATTTTTGATTTCTCAAATTTATAAAGTTTTTTAAATTATGTCAGCAAACACCAATTCAAGTCACTGTAAATTGTTTAATACTTTTCTAAAAATCCTAGCTGGCAGCAAATTTAATATTTTCAATGAATGCTATTTCAAGGCATAATTTCACAAAATACCATGTATATGTATATTTTTGGCCCTATTTATTCCATAAATGGTTTGCGTTGATGAATATATTTCAATTTTTCAGATCCTTTGATAAATCCCATTTAGTGAATAATATAACATCTCGCTTTGAGTTAACTATTGAGCCTGGTAGCACTCCATAATTTTTTTTCCATTATTATAAATGCTTCAATATCTTATTTTCTTTAGGCACTATTAAAATATTTTGGGATTTTATTATGTTAAATTGATAATATTTGAATTCATAAATAATTTCATTAAAATTTTATATAAAATACAAACATATAATACAAACACGATTAGAAATCACCATGGAGGAACTTATCATCATCTTCAAGATTGGATTGATTCGTAGGTTCGAACATTTCATCTTCACCTAAATTTTGCACAGCGATATCTGGTGTATCATCCTCAAGGAAATGAATATCGGTCATAGTACGTTCAGGATCATCATCTAAGTCGGCAGTTTCTTCGAAAGTAGAGCTTGTTGATGGTGCATCACGAGATTTTCTGTATAATGTAATGCCAATCAAAGCTAAACAGAAAATGGATGCAATAACAATGGCTGATATAAGAATTACAGTTGATGATTTCATGGAGCTTGCGTGTGTATTATCTTCAACATATATGATAGTGATGTATGTAACATTTGTTATGATATAAATTGATGTTGGAACAACATAAAAAGTAACTTGAGAAATCAATGTTTTGCGAATAATTGTTGAATTGATATAAGTTTCGAAGTAAGTTAATGTCTCCTCAGCAGTTGTTGATGATGTCGTATTTGTAAGGGTATACTCCGTAATGTTTGTTTCAACGAGTGTTGAAGATGATTCAATGATTTTTGTGGTTGTCAAAATTTGTGTCAATGTTTCAATAATTGATTCTGTTTCATTGGGTTTAAGTGTTGGTAATGGTGTTGATGGGAATAAAGTAAATTCGGGAGTTTGGATTGGAGTAGTATGCAGTGTTGGTGGTGGAGTGCGTTCTAATGATGGTATATATGAAAATTTTGTTGTTTTTGTGTAAATGGAAGCATGAGAAAAATTTACACTCTGAGTTGTAGCCATTGGCAATTTTGTAATCGGAGTTGCAACAAATGTATAGCTAGTTGGATCTGGAACAGAGGATGTTTCAATTTTTGAAACTGCATTACTTGATGTTGCTTTTGGAATTGATACATTATAAGTTTCTGTTATTGGATAAGAGTCATTATGCGTACAATCAGAATTGTTAACAAATTGAATATATCCTTTCCCAATCAAAGAAGTGGAAAGATGCCAATCTCTAAAGCAATCGTTGACTGTATACCAAAAAATAGGAATCTCATCTTCATTATATAGCATTACATCAACGCCGACATCATGGGCATTATCAAATGATCCGCCATATATCATCTTATTCGATTTAAAACTGCATTTTTCTGTATAAAGATTTGTTCCAACGGCAAAAATACCCGCACAACCTCGAGCTTTGATAAAATGTGGAAAGGCACTATACATGTTAAAATTATATTTAGTGGTTGTATCGTTCCTTACATCCATTTCGTTATTTGTGTAATTTCCAGCAGAATTTGAATTAAATTCACAGTTTGAGATTGTAAGACCATAATTATTGTTTTTAAATTCTCTAGTCTCACAAATGGTTTCTATGGTTCCGGCATGATGATTTGCAGTATTTTTGATGAATTTTGTGGTAGTGATATAAACATCTTTAATTCTATTGATTGATATAGCACCACCTGATGAATGTGCTATGTTTCCTGTAAAAAGGCTCGAATTTAGATTTTCTCCGAAAATTTGTATAAAATTAGATTCATCATCGAATTTTTTTAATATTTTGTTGAGATAATGACGCTTGTTCGTTTCGAATATAATTTAGGTGTTCATGACTCAATTTGTTAAGGGTGCACACGAGAGGATCATGTAAACTTCAGAATTTAGAACCTTATTTTTAGGCATTATCTTGGCTACCTATTTAGGCTCGAAAAGCAAAAAATATCAAAAAATACAACTTGACTCCATTATGACCCTTTCATGGAGGTAGTTTTTATCCGTTAGTATTTTCCCTTTGAATCTCTTTACAATTCGAAATCAAATTCAAACCTCAGTAGAAGAAAGGAAGAATCGACTTACTACGGTTGTAATACGAATAAATACATATATTTAATTATTTTTATTTACATAATAATTGTTTGAAGCTCATATTCCATCAAATTTTTAAATAAAAACATTAAAATGTTGAAAATGTTCATATATTTTAATAGGGTTTTGGCACTTTATCGAGGAATTACTACATACATAGGTCGAACTGAACTTATTTTTGAAATTTAAATTATTTATCAAAATTAAAATTTAACTTGAAATTTATAATTATTTAGTCATTTTTGCATAATTCTAAGTAGATTTTGTAAAAAATCAAGAAAGAAAAATTTTCACGTGCTTTATTTTTTCTTTTTTATAATAATACATTTATTATATAATTAACATATTCATAATGTTTCACCCTTTCAAAAATATAATCCTCCTCTCAAATAAACGTACATACGGGTGGCCTCTTTTTCAAAAAATTAAAATTTGAAATTTTGGGCTCAAATATTAGAGATTTTTTCAACCTTCAACGATATATGTTGTCTATATCAGACCTCCTTTCTTTTTGATACTTAACATTGTTCCTAAATCTTAGCCGTTAAGGCTGTTCTGAAAATATTTTTTTTTCGAAAAAATTCGAAAAAAATTCTTAAAATTCAAAAATCCCTTAATTCCTGAGGATTTTGGAAAAAAGTTTTTACATGAACATGTGTATATTATATGAAGTATATTGATAAGGTAAAAATCAAATTTTATTGCATATTCATCGAGAAAATAAACTAACGAATCCCTCAAAATTGAGAGGGTAATCCTCCTCCTCTCAAATAAACGTACATACGGGTGCACCCTTAAAGAATTTTATTTTTCATGAAATTTTATTCAATTACGATCAGTTCAAGTTGTCAAATAAATTTAAGAAAAAATATTTGAGGCATAACAAAATTGAAAGTTCAAAAATTCAAATGACCATAAATTGGAATAAAACAATTATTATTGCAATTGAATATATATCAATAAGGGGAATTTATTTAAAAATTTCAATTATCAATTTTTTGTTCAAAAAACGATTATCAGTATAAATAGAAAGGAAATAAATTTATTAAGAACTAACAAGAAACATTTAAAATTATTTTATACCTTCAATATATGAGAAACGTAGAAATAGAATTTTTCTCTATTAAAAAAGATAGAGATAAATAAAACTAATAAATAAATGGCCATATGATGTCATGATAAAAATTCTTATATATCATTAAGTATCCATGTCTTTGACTGTGTGTCACACGTGATAATTTTGTTACATCTAAATGAAATTAAAATTGCTTTAACTCTTCTTTCGTGTGGTAATTTAGAAAAAAGGCCAGGATTATTCTTATACTGAAGCATCTGTTCGCAAATTTCGTTAAAAGTATGCGGAAGTAAATTATCTGTCAAAAAACGGAGGATAATGGTTTCAAATAGATCGCTACTTTCTTCAGAATGTTCTGATGAATCTGTTTCAATTTCTTCCTTTTTCTCGATAATTTCATTATTTCCTTCAAAGTTTTGATTTGTGTTAGCCCGATTATTTGCATATTTGCTGTTTTTTCTTAATTTTGTATTTAGCATCCAATGATCAATTGAATTAGGATCATGAACAAATAAATGTCGGCCTCTTTTCTTCACAGCACAATTTAGGCGAACAACTCGTAAATTTAATTCAATGAGTGAGCCTCTTTTTGAGTATTTATTTATAATATCCCACTTTTCACGAATATAATCTAAAATATCTTTTTCGGAAGCAGATCCGCCTTTCTTTATAATGCAATCCATTATAGCCATTTGAAGTGGTGAAGATTTTTTCCATTCTGAGCTGCAATATTGTTCCAATGGATGAACAACATTCATAAAACTCTCATCACCTTGATAAATAACTTTCTCCTGCTTGTTCTTATCTGTCTTCCTTCGGTTATAACGCTTTTTCTTTTTATATCTGAGATAAACATTGTAATCGGAATCATCTTCATTCATAATTTTGAAAGAGAAAAAAAAAATCATTCTAAAATTTAGAATGATTTATAAAATAAAATTATAATAAAATGAATTTAATTTGTATATAAAAAATTAATTGTAGACTTTTCAATATTGCACACCTCTCAGAATTTTTCAGAAAAAATTTAACTATAGTGAAAATAATCATATCCTTATTATCTCAGAATTGACAAAGATATAGAAAAGGGATAATTCAATATTCAATTGAATTGAAAAATCAAATAGCAAAGTCTCATCACACTTTTCAATGCTCGATTTTTAAAAACTGTTTAAAAATGGAGCTTATATTGAAATAGTGTAGAGACTAAAAATTACTCAAATGTGTAACATCCTCTTTTGTACTTATAGAAACTGTTTGTATCTTTTTTTTTTAATCTTTCCCATAAAAAAATCGATATGATAGTGATTAAAATAAAACAAAGAAAAAGAATATTTAAATATCTATATAAATTAAAATCTATATGATGTTATTACGCCAATTTCCTTCGAACAATTTTGGCAGATTCCATTATTAGACATTGCACATGTTTCACAAATATCTGCTCCGCATCTTGAGCAAGTTGAATTTGCTGGGAAATTACAATTTGTGCAAGATCTATGTTGTGCCATAGTCTTAATTTTTGCTGTGAAAACTTTACCTCTTGAATCGCAGAAATAGCATTGACCTCTATACAAATCTGAGAAACAATTAGTTAATTTCATCCTTGACACTGACTTTTTGCCCAAATCGAAGAGTTGAGAACTCGAAGAGTCTATGCACAAATATACAACACTTCCATTATCCATTCCGCAAAGCATGATCTTTCCATCAAACGAACTTTCCATTGATAAAACGCAAAAACAGTTACAGATTTCAGAGAAATTGAAACTTCTGATCAAAATTCCATTAATGGAGAATTGTGAAATCATCTTTGAGTTGCAGCATGTCAGAACACCTTCAGATGTATCCCATTCCATTGTATGTGGGCTCTCGAATTCAAGTAAATTGTGTGTCATTCCACTTGCGAAATTCCAAATTTCGATTTTTCCATCGCTTGTGCTTGTTGCGCACAAGTAGTCGGAGCTGAGAATGGAAGATTTTCTACAATGTGAAGCAAATGACAACTGCTTTATAAATGTCAAAGAAACTGGAACAGTTTTATCAAAAATGATTTGATATATTTTGACGAGTCCGAAGTTAAATGAAACAGCGCAGAAGAGACCATCAGAAGAGACGGATATATCATTCACAAAGTTGAACTCGCTCGAATAAATGACTGTCTTCGAGTTTTCGCCAGATATGAACAGCTTAGAGTTCATAATTCCTACGAAATTGTTGTATGATGGTGGAATCAAACTTGAGAGGAGTGGAAATGCATTTCCACTCGGTCCAACTTTGAATTCCCTAAGAGCAAACTTGTTTTTAAGTTCAATTTCGCTGAATGATGTTTTCTGCTCAAACAAAAGCATTGAAAACCTTTCTATCTCTTCTCTTTGAGCGTGTGGCTTTGTGAATAATTGAATTGGACATTGGCCGAAGTTCAGAACTTGAGCGCTAAAAGCACTCTCATCCATGTCTAAGTCCTCAAGCTTGCAGTTATGGTATGAGGATGGCAAAAAGATGTTTTTGCATTGTAAAGCAGCTTCTCCTAACTGTTTGTACCCAAATATTAAATCTATCCAATCATTCAGTGAATCGCAGTGCTCCAATGTCTTCCTCATCACATCGATAAAGACTGCAGGAGAATTCTTCGACCAATCTGGGAGTTTAACATCACCTTCTCCAGGCAATTTTAATGAGCATGTGTTCAAGTACAACTCTGGCACTGTATATATTTGTGGGACGAGTTCTTTGAGGTCGGAAGGATTTCGTGCTGAAGCTGATGAATATGCATCTTTAACAGACATGAATAATCTTCCTTGGTTATCCCAGCCCGAGTTCAAATCCCAGCCAAAGTAAGTGAAAGGAGGAAGTCTCATCATGAGCCAGAAGACAGCGCCTGGCAAACTGTAGTGGAAACCATAGTAATAGTGAGGGTTTGAAAGGGCGAATGTTGTGTCAAAGTGGGCCGCTCTCTGAGGGTTCAGCTGACCCATTGGGAGGGACATGTCCCTTGGCTCCAAATCTGGTGAAGAGACCCAAGGAAAAACTGGGTACTGAGCTAAGTCAGCGAAACTTCTTCCTCCAAAGTTGTTGAGTAATAGTAGATAGTCGAAACTGGAAAGTTGGTAGTTTTGCCACATTTCGCTGGCTAGGCTTTGTGATGAAATCGAAAACAAATAAGGAAATGTAGAATAGACGCTCAGCCTCTTCTTGTTTAAAAACTTCTCGAAATCTGTAGCAACATCTTCTGACTTGAAAGAAAGGATGATCTCAGGCTGCAGAAGCTGGTCAATGAGTAAGGCAACTGGTTTGTGAATAATCATGTGTTTCCTTAGTAAAGGAATGCTTTCTATGTCAACAAATATGCATATGTGGCCGCAGAACAATGAAGTGTTCCATTCATTTAGGGAAATGCCTTCTGTGAATGGGATAAAAGCAATTCTGCCTGGAGGATCTTTCAAAAGTTTGATTCCACCAGATTCATCTAAATCTGCCATAACAAGGATGATGAGTTTTTTATCGCCGATGAAAAGAATGGAAGGGATTTCGTGGATGTAGAAATAAAACGTTACCTTGAGTGGAGACATCTTTTCATCAACCTCAGGAAATGTATCGTAGAATGATTTCAATAAAGATTTCGTTGACTGGAAAACAAATTTCGAGTACTCGAAAGGAGATGTATAAGGTAAGTTTCCCTCATTATGGAAATAGCATAATTCTGGATTTGCAATGATTTGTCCCAATACATCAATTATTTTGATTCTCTGCAACTTTTCAATGTAATTCATTGCGAAATATTCCGGAGTAGCTGCAATTTCGAATGGAGGGCAACGAACGGCAAATGGAGACGGGCAAACGCTTCTCGGTTGGTAAACAGGTAAGTGATTTGGTGACAGATGGAATGAGTTCGGCTTCGAATATCTCAACTCAATCTGCTTCTTGGTTCTGCAGAAATCGAAGAATTGTCTTTCCAGTCTTCTCTGCGAGTTGTTTATGTACCTGATGCTCATATTGCTTTGCACGAAAATATTTGCAGCTCTGTAGGCAAACATAATGTGTGTGTTAGTTGAAACTAATTTCATCACTGTTTTTTCGTTTTCGATTATTTCTTTGGCCTTTGCTAGCTTCTTTTCACTCTTCTCGTCCTCATTTCCAAAGAAAGTCAACGAATACTGCTCCCACTCTGAGCTGACATCATCCGGATTGAAGTTTGCGATGATGTTTGGATCGAAGACAGAAACGAAAAGCGACATACATAAGGCTAAATCGTCTGTATCGAATTTGTTTGATTTTGTTAGGTGCATCCAAAATGTCGAGAAGTTTATATCTTCGAAAATAATTGGGTGGAAAACAACGTTTTTGTTATTTGCGAGAAGTTGATACAACTCAAATAAAGAGTCGTGGTGAACGTATATGAAACTTCCAAGCAAGAAGTGCCTATAGCTATTCAGACAATTTTGGTCCTGGAGGAGTTTCTCAAACTCTCCTCTCATTTCAATTGATTTCATCATGTTGAAAACTAAGGAGAGAATGTGAATATATTTTTCGGAAAATTGTTTCTGTGAAATACATTTGTCAACGAAAACCATCAAAGGTATGTGATACATCTCTATTGGCTCTTCAGAGTCCGACAGCTTGATCAAGAGTTGAGAAACAAGTTCGGGCCCAAAGTACTTTCTATAAGAACTGTACATCAAGGAGTTACCAGTGTACAAATCTTCCAAAAGGAGACAGAAGAACTCGGAATCGGCGGCTAATAAACAAGAGCAGATGAAGTTAATCACGTGGTTGATGCCTGGAACATCATTTAGCCACTCATCATCATAGCAATCAAATGGAAACTCTCCATAGTAGTTAGTATTTATTATGGATTTTGATTCAACTAAGTCCTCCTGGGATATTATTGTCGATATATATTCGTTTTCAGTACCAAGGAGTCTCTTTACAGTTTTCAGCTGTGGTTTAGTGAGTTTCTCGCCCTCAATTTCTTCTTTCCAGTTGTTTTCTGTGCGAGCGCCATCAGATTGGCTGGCCAATGATTGTGGGATAATTCCAAGATTGGACAGTTTATATATTAGAATTACGTTTGATGGTTGTAGGAAATATGCATACTGGTCTTGTTTAATGTTCGAGAGGACTTGGAATACTTTGACGTGTAAATCGATGAGTTCTGGATCAACTGTTTTGAATATTTGGTTCCTTGCAACTAAAGATGTCAAGTTGCAAAGCATCTCCAGAATTATTCCACATGCTGCAGGTCGCTCTATTTGGACAATCTGTGGTAAATTTGTTTTAGTAAATGGTAATCCGCCTAAAATTGAAAGTGCACAAATCCATGCTCTCTTGTATTTCGCTAATCGTGCAAATGCATAATTTGCTGTTTGAGAAACACCAATATAGAACGAATTCTTCTGTGAATAGTAGCAAATAATTTCTCCGAAAGCTAAACTTTTTTCATCTTCGAAAAGCAGCATCATATCGACCAAATCGTTATACATCAAGAGTTCATTTGTGTTTTGCCTTACACAAGAGACCCAGCTTTGCAGAAGGCTTTCCTGCAACTTCGAATTCGACATTGGCATTGTTAATATTGAAGAAATTGGGTAGTCCAAAATAGAAATTGGCAATCTATGCTCCCACTCAGATGAAGAGATGGATGTGTTCAGGAATGTTCTCAATGCGATCTCTGTTTGCTCTGTTGCAATTAATTTTGTCAAAATCGGGCAAACTGCGAGAGAAACCGATTCATCGACGCCGCTCCTCATCATTGCAATGATGAAGTTCGCAGTGTCTAATTTGAACAGCTCTGTCAGATCGAAGTAAGCACCCAAAGTGGCAGTGACGAACTGAAGGAATTGCACTGAAGCTTCGTGAGAGATGACATTGAAGAGTTCTATATCTGTCAGAACGTAGAATAAAGCTTGAGTTCTCTCTGTTCTCGATGATTTCGTGAATGGAATTGAGTTGAGAAAGCTCAAAATGTTTTCGGAAACCATTTCGTTCTTTCTCTTCAGACTCAAAGTGAATCTGGTGTAGAACTTTGGTATGTCTAGGACATCGCTGTTGCACAATCTTATCGAGATAAGTCCGATCAACAAATCTCTGAAATCTTCGAAATTATCGAACTTTTCTGCGATTTCAAACAACTTCTCAATTTCGACGAAATTTGTGAAATAAATTGCAATGCCAAGATATCCAACATTTATTGATGACCTATCTGTGATTATTGCTGAAATTTGCTCTCCATTGAAAGAAGATTTTGGTCCCTGTTTGTACACGTATTGTGCATTCAAATCATTGTTTGAAACAAGTAAATTTGATGAGATCAAAACGTTTGTCATCATTGGCCCTTGGTTATCTCCGAATAATATCTCGTTTGGAACCTGCTCGTCCATTCCTTTGAAGACGCCTAATTCGGAGCCGTCTGCATAAACTGTAACTTTCGATATTGAATTCCTCTGTGTGTCGAATATCAAAATTATGTTGTGCCACTGCCCTCCGACGTGCGTTGCAGTGAGAACCTCTTTGTTTGTGTTCACGTGGATCTTTGAGTTAAATATAGAAATTGTGAGAGAACCAGCAGCCAGAATCTGGCAACTCTTCTGTTCTTTGTCGATGACTTTGAACCAGAAGCTGATGGACTTAGCGTTGAAGGGAACTCTCGCTGTCGATGGTCGGCTTGTTTTGCTTAGTTCAACAACAGGGAAGCAGTCGGAATTGGCATCGAAGTATTTACCTAATTTTGTTAGGTTTCCTAGATATTTAACATCGATGTAACGGTTGATAATTTTATTAATGTGAGGGATTTTTTCAAATTCAATGTTTCTTCTTTCGTATGCAGGGATTGCAAATCTTCCTGCCAAATACTGGTTTGATGGCAAATCAGAGTCATAGTCAGATACGTAGGGAAGTAGAGAAGGAATTCTTACACAGTGTGTCTTCCTGGATCCGAAGCAGATTTGCTCCAAGACTTCTCTTTTGACAGAAAAGATCGGATGGTCTAAATCCAACTCATTCAAGAAATTGTCGATTTCTGGTTGTTGTTCATGGCAAGCAGCACTGGCAAATATCTGGAGAATTCTCTCAGCCGATTCTGGATTCTCCTTTACGTAATCACAGCAAATCTGCAGTCCATTTGCTTCAAAGAAGAATCCAGGAGCTTCTTGTCTTTTCACTAACTCCTGGCATAAAAGTCTAACCAGATCATTGCTGTTTAGAAAGTTAAGCAGTAAATGAACAATCTGTGTTGAGAAGTTCGATGTGAACAAAGCTGAGAGGAAGTTTACGAAGGAAGGGAAATCAGACAAATGCTGTGATGCTTTGATGAAGGCCTGGATGACAGGAAATCTCCATTCTTGGGCCGATGGAGACGAATACGCAATCTGCGCCAGTTTGAGGAACTCCTGGTGCGCAGACATGAACCATGCAAGCTGCTTGTCATCAGGAATCAGGATGAAATCCTCAAGGAACTTTGACTCTATCAGGTCTGCCGGACTGAGTTTCGACCGCTGAGTCTCGTTTAGAACAAGAGATAGAATGAGAGAAGTCGGGACTTCTGTGTCTGGTGGAGGGGCGGAAATGGAAAGTAGAGGAGAGAGAATTGACTTGGCATCGACAATGTTCCTGGAAACCATCTCGGTCGTGAATATGATTAAGCTCTCAAGTGACTTTCCGTCAATCTTTGGAGGTTTGAGAATCCAAAGAGAAAGAGGTGAAACTGAAAAGATTTGTTGACGGAGATTCGGATTGGCCTTTGTGAAGGCAATAAATGCCTCAAGAACCTGTTTTCGGACAAGCTGAGTGGTATTTTCGTTGAGATAGATGTTCATAATGAATTTGATAATTATGACATTCGCATGGGTAGAATTAAGAAGAATTTCTGTGATTTCGCGTACACATGGACCACAATGTTTGATAATAAATGTTGATAGCAAATCGAAACCCCCAAGTTCACAAAATTCTTCGATGATATTTGGATGGTGAATAGAAAAGCAAGCTATATATGATCCAATGAACTGAGCGCATGATTCAAAATGAATACCTTCGTTTGTAATAAGAGAGTTAATGAAAATGTCTAAGATTGTATCGGAGGGATTGATTTTGTAAAAATCTGGGGGAACTACATGAAAAAGTAAATGCACCCAGAATGATTGTATGTCTGTCTTTGCATTTGTCATAAAAAATGATGAAAATACTAATGAAAATCCGTCAACTTCACCAAATTCAACGAAGAATGGCATAGATGTAAATAATAATGTAATAATTCCATATGATTTTTTCAATATTAGATTTTCGGTTTTCGAATTTTGAATTATGCCGCATAATAAAGAAATGAAAGATTCTGCTTTTGGTAAATTCGAAAATAAACTTGATATAACAGTTAAGCAGCTGAATAATTCGATAGATATTTGTAGATCATTGAGCAGATGCGTACCATATGTGCCACATAAGTAACAAAATTTCTCCAAAATTGTTTTTATTTCTTGATTTCGTACATCATTTGGTTGTAATGACCCAAATGTTGAATCAAACTGTACTATAACCCGTTTAAGTAGGGCAATTTTGTCAGAATCCGAATCGAATGATTCAATTAACTCAATATTCTGACCGAAAAGATTTATAATATCCATCTGCTCCTCATTTATTGTGGATTTGGGACTATTATCTTGATCTTTTTGCACTCCGAATAATTTCCCAAGCCCTCGGAACATCGAGGAACGATAAAAATTTTATCAGTGGCAAATATCGGATTTTACCTATTTTATGACTGCAATGAATAGTATAATATGTATACATTTATAAACATTAATATGAAATCCCTGTTTTAGCATCAATTTCCAAAGATATTGATGATTGAATTAAATCATTATTAAATTTAATAGTGATTGCTTGAATTAAATTAAAATACATAATTAAAATTTAAATTATTTTGAAATTTTCAAAAATATAAAACGAATAATGATGATATATGTCATTGTAAAGTTAAAAGAATTGTTTTTTGGAAAGATAAATCTTTATCAAGTACAAAAACAACACAAAATTAAAAAAAAAGAACAAAATTATTGAAACTCTTCATTGCTCTTGTTACGACGAATCACAGGAATCACAACAATCGGAGAATTTAAATGCAAATTCTCATAAAAGACTTTGGATGAGCTTTGTCTTTTATTGTTTAATTTTGCTCTAACCCTATATTTCAATGGATTAATTATTGAATGATTTAAAGAAGAATTAATGTAATCACATAATTGCTGAGATGACCAGCGATGGTCTACATCAAGATCGAGAGAATGCCGAATTAGCTGTTCGATTGTTGGATTGCAAATTGGAGGTAGTTCATACTTACATTTACATATAGAATCGTATATTTCTACTATGTTAAGTCCAAAAAACGGGAGCTTACCTCCAGAAACCAATTGAAATAATGTAACTCCAAATGCCCATACATCTGCCTTGAAAGAATTGTATGGTAATTTTCTGAATACTTCTGGTGGCATATATGGGATAGAACCGCCGTAAACTATTGATTTCTCGTGCTGTTGAATAATTTGAGCAATCCCGAAATCAGCAAGTTTAACTCTATTGAAATTATCTATAAATATATTGCAAGGTTTTATATCATGGTGGCAAATGTTGTTCTGATGGCAGTAGGATAGGACTTCAAGAATTTGTCGGGCAAAATTTAATATCTCTGATTCTTTAATTGGTGAATTCTTCTTAATATATTCTTCTAAGTTTCCATTTGGGCAGTATTCTAGGATAAGTACAAAATAATTATTATCAGAAAAGGAATCGTAGATATTAATGACATTTGGGTGTATTAACTTAGTCAGTGTAGTTAGTTCTTGGTAAAAAGATACTTCAAACGACTTCTTATGGAGGGAATTTGCAATGTCAATTACTTTTGCAACAAATGTAATTTTATATTTTTGGGACACGCAAAGATAGCAATGAGAAAACGTACCCCAGCCAATCTCGCTTTGAATATTATATCCATGCTCAGAGAGCATTTGCTGAATTCCCTCCATTATCAAAATTAAATGAATTTTTCTATGAATTGAATGCAAAAAATTAAGAAATATATAGATAATTGTGCAATTAATAATTATAATAAATAAATAATAATTGAATATTATTGAAAAATAAATTGAATTATGCGTCTTTCTTTTCAAAAGATTGAGAAAAATTATATAATATCTACTTAGACGTATCTTAACATGAAATTAATAAAAATTCTCGAATTGATAAAACTTCAGAAAAAGAAATTAAATTAAAAAAATTAGAAAATATATTTGTAAATATACTTATTTAGTAAAATGATATTTTGAAAAAAGAACTTTTTCTATGAAATATCCTTCACAAATTTTCTTCTAAATTCAATTTGTTTTTGTATTCAATTCAATTATTCATTCAAATAATTGAATTTGAATATTGAATAACCCACAATTACAGGGGGCTAAGGTGAATCATAGTGCCTCAATCTCATTCATAGTGGCCTCTCAATTTTGAGACACTATTGAATTATTAAATACTTGCATAAAATATTTCTATACCCACTATGATTCCATATTCAATATTATATATTATATAACTCAATTTTCTGTCACTTCACCTTCGAGATTATTAGTGCATTTGTCGATATTTCTTATTTTTATTCATATATTTTTTTATTTTCCCCGCCAAAATTCCCCTCTCAATTTCCCCGCCATTTTCATTTGGCCTCAGTGTTCCCCAGTAGCGTGACCTTCGCTCACTCACCCCAAGAGTTTGAACCTGAACCCCCTCACTACACTCCTGATGGCTCCACAATGCCTGGCCCTTGAGCTTTCCTTAAGCTCGTGAAATTCCCCAGAAATTTTTCGCTTGCCCCTCCCAATTCCCCCGCCAGCCGAATTTTTGCCACTTTGCAACCCCAAAACTGCCCCGATGGCTACATTTCGGTGGCATTTTCCCAAATTTCCTCCATTAGAGGCGGAACACCTCTCCAAATCGAGCCCCAGGGCTTGCTAAGTGAAGCTCTCCATATATCCAATAGCTTCTTTTACCAGTTTTGCTCATTCTACCAGATTGTTGTTAAATTTCGAGGCAGATCTCCCAAAATTTGCAGATAATTCGGCAAATTTCGCTAGATATGCTTCGAAATTACTAACCAATAGATGTTCTTCTTCTTACTCTCTGGATTCTTGAAATTTGCAAACAAATTTCATTGAATGTAACAGAGAATTCAATCCGAGTCTATTACTCGTGTTTTATTACTAAACATCCCTTTACCAGCTATATTTCTTCTATTTTTTTTAAAAAAAATCAAAATATTTAATGAAATTATGAGCTTAATATGAATAAATATGCTATCGTATATTAGAATAATAATTCTCTATGCATTCTGCTTATTTATACTAACAAAATATAAGATTTTTACTCCAAATTTTTTCGATTTCATGAAAAATGACTAAAAAAAGCACAAATTTCCTAACACAACTTCTTTATTCGAAAAATCTTTAGTAAATATTTTATAATTTTGTTGAATGATGCATGCAGAATTTTTTTTCACTCCAGTCCTCTCTCAAAATTTGAGAACAAATCACGTTTTAGCAATTTAAAATCAGAAAATCGAGATCTATATATGATATTTAGCAATATTTATAACTTCGTCTCTCAAAATTATTGAGGCACTATGAGTGAAATTGAGAGCCTTGGATTCAATTTAACCCCCTGTATCATCGAACAACTTCTGAATCTATATGATCATTATGAGCTATTCATTTATTATTTGATGTCCAACACGATACAAAAAAATAGATTCCCTATTCAAAAAAAAATATCGAGAACAAATATAGATTAGACTCTAAAAATTATTTGCAATAATCAAAAACAACTTTTTTGTATATTAAATCACTTGATATTAATTAAACTTTAAAATTCGAAATTCTTTGAATAAATCATTATACTTTTTTAATATATTCAACCGGCATAATTCAATGTTACATGTTAAACTATTATATTATTATCTCAACTGGTATACCAATGAATGAACTTTATTTGTCAAAATTACAAATTGTCAAATTTCAAATGAATTTGCAGAACCTCCAAAATTTTTTTCATTTCGATGGACCGAAATGTCCAGTAATATCGATACTACTTGAAAAGATTGATATTCTAAGTGACGAAGAGAGTTCTGATATTCCAGATTACTTCTACGAGTTGCCAACATTAACTCGCCAACAATTATATTCAATAGATGACAATATAAATCAAGAAACTCACGATGTAACTTCTGCACTTAAACCCTACGCAAGTATTTTAAAATTTAATCCGGATTTATTTAAATATGTTAGGAATATTTTCGAAAATACTGAATCTGACACCAAATATCCTCGTATTGCAATTATATATCACTTAGTATCATTTATTGCACACATAAATGAATTTATTGCTGATGAATTTTTAAAAATAATATTTCAATCTTTAAATTCGATACAATTTCAAAAGCTTCAAGAAGTTACTACGATATTATTCATTAATATTGCTCAATGTGTACTCAAAAGGCAAGATTATAAATGGGATTCCGAAACAATTTTAATTTGTTCCCAACATTTTGTTTTAGACCAAACATCCATACGTATTCCCAGCACCATTTTCTTCCAGATTCTGCACTACGTCATCGACAACATGGATTCTGAAACCCTTGACCTGCTGACCGATGTCATCATTCAAATGCTGATAAACCCAAAGAAATACTTTACATCTGAAGAAAATTTCAGAGTCATTGGTTGCATAAATGGCCTTCTTAAGGACTTTAATTTCAGAGCAATCAGAGTTGTCGCATTAGTTTCAACAATCGGAGTAACTCAGCCAGTCAAGGATTGCTTCGTTGTTTTATCGTCTGTGTTCGTGAATTACGTTCAAAGATTGCCTGTTTTCAACAAATTGGAAAGTATTCAGTTATTTTCTTTTCCAGAAACGAAATTTTCGACATTTCCATTTCACGAATGCCCTGTAAATGAGTTCGAAATGGGATTTGAACGGATTCCAAGCGATAAAATCAGGACAAACAAAAGATTAATTAATTTTGTGCAGAAAAATACCCATGAAACACTTCAAAGTTTCGCAGAATCGATATATTTGGCTGAGTCAAGATGTACAGACTGTTTTTATGCTTCTGTTTTTCAAATTTTAACTCTGATGAAAAATGAGCCACATTTTATTGATTTATTTGTCTCAATTTCAATTGTCATAGAGAAAAATATAGAAAAGACCTCTCTTTCTCACGCCACAGACTTTTTTACTTCTGACGCGATATTTAAAGACCAAATTTGCGCGTTTTCAGGAAATGAGCTTCCAGATGTCATCAAATTCATAAGAGGAAAGACAATCAACTTCATTTCTCATTCAGCTCCTTCAATTTTGGCAGATATTTTGGTTGCCAACTCAAAGTACCCGTATTTGGCCGCAGAAATAATTGCCCATATACTTTATTGTGATAATGAAATAGATTATCGTGTCTTCACTCGTCCTGACTGTCTTTCTGCGATTTCAAATATTATTTCAATGCTTTGGAACAACCATGACACGGATCCGAATGCAAAATTAGCATTTACAACTGTTATGGACTTTGTTTTCACTTTGGTTGATGACGAAAAATGTACAAATGACTGTTTTTCATCTTTTGACTTTTCTTTCGTTTTCCTTTCTTTAGCAACTGAAAGGAACTTGCTGCATTTGATTTACACGCGAATAAGGAATTTCCTAGTATCTGTTAAGGACCAAAATATTGATTTTTTAGCAAAATCTTTCAATAAATTTTTGAAAAGATTAGAAGATGACGAATCTGAGATAGCCTTAATTACAACAACAGAATTGTATGAGCTGTTCATATACGCTTGTTCCCATAATCCTCAGCTCTGTTCAAGATTTAACAATATTTTAGACAATTTGTTCTCTTACGGACTGAAACGGAAATCTGACAAAGTCATTCAGCAGACTCTCAAGATATTTTCGTTCATAACTATGTCTTTTCCGAAATATAAATTATCATCGAAATATTTTATGCAAATCAATGAAATAATTAAGAAAAATATTAGTGATAGCAGTTATAAAAGCATTCTATCATCTCTTGGGAACATAATTTCCAATTCAAACACTTTATCTTACGGAGCTCCATTTCTTGTCAAAATTCCAACGATCGCTCCTGTTTATCTTGCGTCATTTGGGTCAACAAACTATATCAACGAGGTGTTGAATATTTTACTGAAACTTTCAGATTATTCTGATTTTAATTGCGAACAATTTCACGAAGCCGGTATAGATTCCATCCTAATTGACTTTCTATCGTCCGAAACTAATACAGTCAAGTACAGAGGTTACGAATTTTCGCTAAATGTCCCAAAAGACGATTTGATTTACAAACTTCTATTTAATATTACCAGAGAAAAATCAAGCTACTACATTGCAATGAAGATCTTCAAGCTGATTGTCTGTCCGCCCAATGTGGAAATTGCGAAAAGATTATTAAACTCCCAGATCTCAGAAGTCACATCAAAGAGGAAGCATGAGTTCCCATGCGATTCAGAGAAGCCATTCTGCCTACTCAAAAACCTCCCATCAATGGCTTTTAACAAAATGCTCACTTTTTCTTTCTGGCTGAACGTTGACACTCCGCTAATGGCAGATCTGAGCAAAGAGATAATGTTGCTGAAGATAACAAGTCCAAGCGCAACCTTCAAACTCTTTTTCTTAAGGTCAAATTTGTATTATTCCTTCACATTTGAAAAAAATGACAATCCAGAGAATGAATCTACCCCAAAGACCTTATTATGCCACTATTCCAAGAAGGGATGGACCTTCTGTTCGTTCATTCATCAAAGATATTCCCTTGAAAAGAGTGCAGTTGGTTTTTACTTCGGAGAACAAATGGACCAGTGCCAAGAAATACCAAAACTACAATTTCCAATTGACGATGACTTAGAATTCGAGTTCGGAGGAGGTGGAACCATAAATTCTAAAGAAATCGTAGTAGTTGGCTCTTTCGGAGTCTCATTTTCTATAATAAGTGAAGAAAGACTAAAGGGAATCGGCCAGAGAGGAGATGTTGCCTTGAATTCAGAAGAAAGTTTTACAATAAATTCTAATATGATAAGTAACAACACGAATAAGGCAGATTTCGTATATAAAGGTGCACATCAGGACTACAAATGTCAAGCTGAATTCAACTATTTCCTCAAAGAAAAGAATTCATTGCATAAAATGATCGGAAGAGGCAATCATTTGATGTCATTAGTACCTCTTTTTGATTTGTCAAAGGATATACCCAACGATTTCATGGAAATAATGATTGGATTGATCAAGTATACAATTGGCGGATTTTATGAAGCTCAGGAAAGGTTCACTTGCTTCTCGTTAATTGGTAAAATGCTAGAGAAGTGTCCATCGAAGCTTAATTACAGCATATATATTAGTTTTTACTCAATAATGGATCACATTTCTCTGAAAAGATGCTTAATGAGCTTGTTCAACGGAATTATTCTCAACATAAATCTCTGGATCAAATCTCCCTGCTTCGGAAGGATCGTTCACCACTGGGCAACGATGGCCGTCTGCCAATTTCCGAAATGCTTCAAAGTTGAGGGTTATTTCTCAAGGTTAATCAGAGTTTTCCCAGATGTTTTCGAAATATATGCGAAAACTAACAAAAAACTTGTCAAAGAATATATTTCATTATTAAGCACGATGAGTGTCACAAATCTTACTTCAAAAGAACTTGACTTATTCTTTTCTATCCTTTACAACTCCCACAAAGAAGAAATGTTCGATTTAGTATACGATCTTTTAATTCTCTTTGAGAGAATTGCGAATACTCTTAAACTAACCCTCAAGAAAGATAATATTGCTGTTCTACTCGCCCTTCTTGAGATAGATGACGTTTCTATTGTCACTTCGATTCTCAAATCTGTATCTCTCCTCACTGGAACAGTTGAAATCATTGCTGCCTCTATTGCACTCTTTAAACACAAAAAGAAGCAAGAGATTTTCAATTCTTTAACTCCATTCTGCATCTCTAACCCTTATTTGTGCCCCTTCTGCATCGTTCTCTCCCTCAGTCTTCCGTACGACCAGAAGGAAGTCTGTGCAGCCTTGATCGGAGGCCTTGCGCAGCACAGCCGTGATGAGATGATTTCGAAGGACAAGCTCTGGTTCGTCTATCCGCTCATTCTGCTGCTCAGCCAACTTAATGGAGAAGGATACTCTCATTGCTACAACTTTGTGGAGCACTTTGCACTGAAGTCTTCGGAGAATCTGAAAGTTGTCTTGGATTTCCTCCAGATCCTCTCTGGAGCGCTTAAAATAGACGGTAATTACATTGCGATCCGACTCTTGAAGTCCTCTTCTGAGCTCGATCTGAGCGCGAGGGAAAGGGCTGTCTACGTCTACAAGGCAATCTTCTTCAGGTTCTGCGACTACTCCATTGACCCGAGACTTGTCGACGCCTACATCAACTCTCCATTCTACCTGAACGAGTCGCTTGAGAGTGAAAAGAGACAGGTTGACGACGTTTTGTCGCTTTATTCGATTCTGAAGGCGGCGAACAAATTCACTCTCAAGTTCGGCATTTCAGTTGACGAAAACGTCGGTGGTGAATCCAGTGAAAGCGTCTGCCAGATGGCGAACTCCCTGGAAGATACCGACCTCGCTGCTTTTCCATCACTCTTCAAGCTGCTTTCACAGATTTTGTCAAACGACAAAGTTACATTTAAAGAGGCGGAGATGTCAGATGTAATCTCCGACTTCTCGATGGAGTTCTCGCAGAAGCTCTCCAACCTGTCGATGGAGATCTGTGAGGCGATTTCGGAAGCGAAGAACCTGATTTTGCTGACGTCGAATGTCACGATGACTCCGCTCTCTAAGCCAAAGATTTTCATACCGCCGATGAATTCCGTCAACGATTTCCAGGTGTACATGAACACGTTCAACATAGAGAAGTGCGAGAGAAGAAGGAGTCACTTCTACGGATTCGCGAAAGTGCCCTGCTTCAAATACCTTTTCTTCGACACGAAAATCCAGTTTTCCGATGATGTCGGCGATATCGGAATCAATGGTTTGAACTACACTTCGAAGAACATTGTTTCCTATCCTGGGGCAAGGTACATTCTCGGAGAGATGAGGCCGATCTGCATCTTTATTTCGTCCGACCAGATACAGATAATATCCAAGTCAGACCCGTCGAAACTGATAAAGAATGAGGACATAGAATACATCCTGGAGAAGCCACCGACGTCGATAGAGATATTTCTGAGGACGAATGAGAGTTTCTACATCGACTTTGATCCGATTTCATCTGACACAATAATGTCGAACCTGAAGGAAATCGACAAAAGGTTTTCTCTCCAGATTTCTGATCTCCTCTTGAAGACGTTTTCGAGAAGACTTCTCTGGTCGAACTTCGAGGTTCTCGTAACCTTCGAGCTGTTCACAGGAAAGACCTTCCACGTCAGCGGCCTCTTCCCCGAGATCAGGCAGACGAGTGTCATCTCTGTTCCTTACGAACTCTACGTTTGCGACGGAGTTATCCCTCTGGAAGAAGTCATCAGAAACAGGAAGAAGACAGAATCATTTGACTTCTCGAGCGAATTCATCCCTATTCTAGGTGAGAGGAAACCAGATTTCACGATTCAGAACTCGACAATCTTCGGATTGGGTCTCGTGAAGGATGAGATTCTCGCTGTTTTTGTCTTTGGGAGAAATGTCGCTATTTTTGTCAAAAATGGCCAACTCCGTTTCTTCACTTTCGACACAGAGGGTCCACAGCTCAAGAAGGTCTACGGCATCCAGTACAGCGATGACTTCCTTGTGTTCCACTCGAGCGAAGTCCTCTTCGTCATAGACCCTTCAAACAGCAAGAAGTACTCCTTCACGAAGGACGACGTCGACCAGGAAATCGTAGAAGTCCCCGAACTATTTGCGATGTCTAGTGGCCACAAGGCGGCTCTCTTCAACGGATCGGAGGTGAGGACTGAGAACGTTCTGGCGGAGATCCCAGGAAAGGTCACATGTCTGGACCTGGCCTACTCTGGCTCTTTGTTCGCGTGCAGCACCACAGACTGCAAAATATTCGTCCACAACACGATGCACAATGAGTTCATCTCGATGATTCAGTGTGAGAAAGAACCTCTGAAACTCCTCATCACTGATTCGTTGAATTTCGTTTTTGCAGATTTAGGAGATTCAATTTCTATCTATGCTTCTTTCGGAGAGTTCATCTGCAGCGTGGATGTCGAAGTTGTTTGCTGGCACAAATTCATATACAAAGGAATCGATTATGTCATAATTTGCGATTCTGACTTCAACATCCTTTTCTTTGACCCCTCCGACTTCAAGAATCCAAAGAAATTAGGAAAAACAGAAGATGTAGCATTGAGGATTTCTGTTGGGTTCTACCCACTTTGTATGGTTGTTGTTACTGCAAATGGAAGACTTAATTTGTTCCCTTTAATTATTTAATAACTTTTTTTTATTTTATAAAAAAAATATTGTTGTTTGTTTTAGATATAAACGGAAAAATTTCTAGTTTAACTTATTACATTGTTTGAGATATAAAAATACTATTAACATAATGACACTATTTGTCCATCGAGAGATGAAATATAATCCTATGCTGGGTGATTCCTGCGAGAATGTCTTATTTGTTAAATATATATAAATAAATCAGAATCATCTGAAAGTAAACAATTGTTTTGAATAATTTGAGGAATTTTATAATATAATTTGTAAATGTTTTCTTCGGCTATTACAAACCATAGATAGTTAAGAACATTATTTCAAAAGATAAAATTTTGCATAATACCAAAACATCAAATTTATATTTTATCGTAAAAATATGATTTAAAATCTATTTTTATAACAATTATGTGTTTTATTATTTGATGAACTTGTTTATTAATGGCTAAAATTGAAAATTAACTTTAAAAAATTCCAAAAAAATTATGAATTTCGTTTTTTATTTTCAAAAAATGTTAGAGTTTCCTTCATTTTGCCGATTTTAGAAAAAATTTGGAAAATTCTGATTTAAACAAATCATGCAGTAGCGCCATGCGGCTTTAGTATTTTCTTGTTTCTCCATTTTTTGTCAGTTATCTTACCAATTAATTATATATTCCTAATTTTCCTCACAATTTCATCGAACACCGTAAAAAATTAACAAGTGATTCTTCAGTATAATTTATTGATGCTTGAAAACAAATCATAATACCGAGTTTCAATATTTTTTTTCTTTTTCGAGAGACTTATTATAATACCATACAAATTAAAACGTATTACTTATATTTTTACAAACATGACTCGGTTCAAAATCCTTTGTTTCCATATAAATTAACTTTTTTTCGATTGAATTTTGAAAGGCGGCCCAATTTCTTATAGACATAAGAAATATCCACTTAAAATCATATCCAAATACAATTCATTAAACAAAATTTATTCGAAATTTATTTCATTTAAAATTTGGATCAGTACAAACCATCAGTTATTTAAATAAAAATCCGTCATGAATTTAAAAGAAAAGAGAAAAACGATAAAATTCTTTATTGAGATTCCTCTGCGAACAACTGGATCTTGATTGGAAGGCCAAGGTTTCTAATTGTACCTGTTGGGATAAGGAATACCATGTACTTACCATCTTCAATCTTATCTACGATGCAGTCAGCTCTGCGCTCGAGCTGTAAGATCTGACCCTGCTTGATGTTGTTGATTGAAGCATCGACAAGAAGCTTTGTATCAGCGAATGGTACCTTGCAGATTGCCTTTGTGATATCCATTTCTGGGTTGTAGATTGGTTCCTCGATGAGGTAGTTCCATTCTCTCATTGTAATTTCGACAGCCTTATCAGCGACGATCCAGTTCAACTTCTTTGTAGACTTGAAGTCGTTATCACCCAACCACTTGGCCTTGACTTCAACGATCTTCTCTCCATCCTTCTGGATGTCTGTAACTGTGAATGTGTTCCAGTGGAGAAGGCAAGCCTTTCCGCCGACTTGGAGAAGCTTGGCATCTTCTTCCTCGATCAAGACGTTTGGTCCTGTGGCGAGTTCCTTTGTACCGAGGGTCTTGACCTTGTCGTTGACGTTGCATGTTACGACACCCTCTGGAGCGCCTTCGATGTAGAGCTTGACGGCTGATTCTGGTGCAATTGACATGACACGTGGTGATGATGGTTGGATGATGGCACGGTTAAGAGACCAGAGCTTGCCCCACTCGTGCATGTTCTGTGTAGCAGAAGCACCCTGAGCTTGGCAGAATTGCTTGAGTGTATCTGGGATGAGACCTCTCCTTCTGAGACCACGGACTGTTGGGAATCTGGGATCATCCCAGCCCTCGGCGAGGTGCTCGGCAACAAGCTTGCGAAGATGGCGCTTGCCGAGTGCTGTGTGTGTGAATGAGAGACGAGAGAAGGAGATGATCTTGACCTTGCGGAGGTGGAGAGCATCAATGAAGTAGTAGTAAAGGTGATCTCTGTCTGTGTATTCCCAGGATCTCATGGCGTGTGTAACACCAGCAAGAGAGTCGACAATTGGGCAGGCAAAGTCATAGACTGGGAAGACTGGGTACTTGGTGCCGGTCTTTGGATGGTAGCCGTTCTCGATGTGACGGGCAATAACTGGATCTCTCATGACACCGTTCTTGGACTGGTAGTCGATCTTGGCACGAACGACGCACTTGAGACCGTGCTCTGTACGCTTGAGCATCTCTTCCCAGGCAGCAAGGTTCTGCTCGACTGTGTCATCACGGTGGACGGATGGCTGGAGCTTGAGACGCTGCTCGGAGATGACATCAGCTGGTGTATCATCGACGTAAGCCTTGCCTTGCTTGATGAAGTCAACAAGCTTCTCGATGATGATTGGGATGTAGTCGGATGTGCGCTCGCAGCGGTCGAACTTGATATCGAGGAGCTCAAGGTCCTTCTTGATGATCTCTTCGAATTCAGCGGATTCGTTCTTTGGGTTTGTATCATCGAATCTGAGGATGAACTCGCCTCCACGAGAGCGTGTGTACATCTCTGAAGCAAGGGCAGCCTTGGCGTGGCCGATGTGAAGGTAGCCAGATGGTTCTGGGGCGAATCTTGTGCAGACCTTCTCCTTTGGAGCTTCAGCCTTCTTGGCGGCTGTCTTCTTGTTCTGTTCAGCATTAACAGAGGAGTGGTAACGCTTGATCATTGGATTTGCAGCAACTGTGTTGTACCAGTTGTTGGAAACTTCGAGACCAGATTTCTGGATAGCAGCGTAAACAGCGATATCAGCAAGTGTGAATTCGTTGCCAACAACAAAGGCGAAGTCCTTCTGGAGAAGGCCATCTTGAACCTTTGGGTAAAGGTTGACGTGGGCATCGATCTCAGCACGGTGAGCTTCTGGGTAAATTGGGAGGTTGAGTGCCTTGGCAAGATGAAGTGCTACAGCAATTTCACCTTCGATTTTGTTATCACCATCGGTTAAAACGACGCTCTCTCCGGTTCTGGAGACCTTGATCTTAGCAGCCTTTTGTGCAAAGTAGAATGTGATATTTGCAAGGGGGGCAGCTGCTGTTTTAGCTGGACAAACAAACTCCATCCAAAAAAAATGGCCATTCAATCTATCGTTCGATTTTCAATAGAAACTTTGTCATGAAAATAGAGGTTGTAACCCTTTCATTTTTGAGTCATGAGTGGCCATACCGAACAAGATGAAATGATTCAGTTTTATCACCCATCTAATACAGAGATAAGTGCATTCAAATTCATCGTTAAAACTTTTCTCCAAAATCTATTTATTAAATTTCAGATTTTTGCATATTAATTTGGGGGCGATCACTAATTCAAAATTTCACAGCTCAGTTCACTACAAATCCTTTTCTTGGTATAACAATATCAATAACAATTCTCTAGGCATAGAATTTCGATCCTATGACGAAGAAATGTGATCAATTTTCTTTCCTTGAGGATGTTTTTCGATTCTTTATTCAAATAAAATGAATTTTAGCTTCTAATTATCTCTGATCGTGAATAATGCTCAGAAATAAGCATATATATTATTTTCGGGTTTAATAGATTTGAACTCTCAATGTTTTACAGTAGTGTATATTGGTCGGACGTTTTTTCAAGAGAAAATCACATTTACAGATTACACTTCAATAGGTAAAGCATAGTTTATGTTAATATCATGTAGTTTGCTCAAAAGCTACACATATCGTATAAAAATCTAATATCAAAGCATAAGAGATGATTTGTGTTCTTCAAATAAACGAACATTATGTTATATACTTGCTTCGCAAATCAAGCTACTATTATTTATAAAGATTAGTAAAATGTTTTTTTTAATTTTCTAAATTCGAATTAGATAAGAAATATGATCATAGTTATTTGTGATTCCGAATGTAAAAATGAAAATAAAATATTTATAAATAGAGGTAGATTCTTTTTACATTTCATCATAGTGCTGAACAACACCTTGAGGAGCGAGTGGATCAAGACCAATCTTTTGCAATTTCTGGGTTTCTCTCTCGTTAAAAACTGCAAAGCCAAAACCACAAAGAAGTCCAACAGCAGCAAAAACACCTGTAACAATAGCCATTCTAGATCCAATAGTGTCTTCATCTTCAACGTCGAGTAATCCGAATGTGAGACCAAGTGCAAGGCCAAGAACAAGATTGAGAACGAAAAGTGCCGTAATTTGCCTGTTGTTCGAAAGAAGGCGATCTTTAATGCTAGCAAATGAGCAAACGTTGATTAATTGAATAATATTAATTGTGAAATCGATTAAAAGAGCTGCAGCGATAAACATATATAGTGGAGACTTAGCAGCGGGATGACTGGTTTTGATAAATTCCTTATCAACAATGAAACATCCAATGGCAGCAATTGGCATCAGAACTGCAGCAATAGCCGAGCAAATACGCATGAACTTATCATCAGCTGTCTTCCATGCTGTAAATGCAAAAACAATAGTAAAGATGATAAGAAGAATTCCAAAAATAATCGAAAATGTTTTGCTGAGACTAACACCTAGAAGAGCTGCAGAGGCACATGCTGCTGCAAGGACTTCACAAGGGACAAGAACGTATGAAGCCTTAATTACGGGTCCCCATTTGAACTCCGACATAAATTATAATAAAAAAGTGACATGAACTGCAACATCTGAAACCTAGCTAAGAAAATTTGGTACTTTGAACACTGAAATTTGATTAAAATTAAAATTTTAAAATGAGAATATAAATTGTTTTAATCGTATGAAATTTCAGGAATTTATTAAGATTATCAAGCAGAGACACCTAGCGAAGTCAGTTTGGGCTCTTCACAAAATCAATAAGTTCAGCAATTTTCATTATTTGATGTTTTGAAATCGAGAACCATATCTTATACAAAGGTACATTCACTATTTTTGACAAAATTTTAAATTTTCATGGGGTTGTAAATCTTATAATAACTAGATGAATAAGGAATGAATCCCAGTATAATGTGCATCATTATATTAAACACTATATGTAAGGCTAATGATTCTATTAACACTTATGAAGATCTATAGTATTTGAGCAGGTAAATTTGATAATTTCCAAAACTCTTATATTTCAAAATTAAAGTGTGCGAATGCATTTAAATGAGAGCAAAAAGAGATTGATGCTGTTAAAACTAGGTGTTAATTTGCAATTATTTCGCATCACAAGAACTACCCAGTAAATTCGGCTATCTTTCTTTGCAATTATTCTCCATTATACATATAATATATTGGTTAGGGTTTGAAGAAAAGTTACTAGAGAATTATTGACTTTTGAATAATACAGAATTTTACTTGAAGAAATCATTAATTTATGAGTTCCAAATTGCTACATGACGAAGGATCATTAAATTTGCTACAATTAAATACACTTATTGCAGAATTAAGATTTTTGAAATTAAAAGTTTGAAATATTGTTTTTGAATAAAAATTTAAATTTTATTATATAATCATGATAATCTTATAGAAATTAAAGAAAATATTTTAAACCATTCAAATATTTTGAATGTCTTATCAATTTAAAATATTAAAGATAGCTTGATTTTATCATCATTAGTTGTTATCAAAGTTTTCTTCTTTTGATGAACAACAGTAAATGATTTGTTAATTACTTGTCTTCCTTTTTCGCAGCAAATCGAAAGTTATGATGATAATCTTGCTGTCAATTTTGAAACTCTCTGATTTACAAGTAAGCATTCCTTTGGAAAAGCAGTCCTATTCTGTTTTCAAGATATTTTAAAGCCTCTATTTCATACAATGCGCAGATCTGTTCGAAATTGCAAGAACTCTCAAGAAAAATGCAGCAGCAAAGAAGATTCCATAGTTTCTAGCATCAAAAATTTACAACCTTAATACAACAGTTAAAGAGAAGCTCGAAAAGAAAATATTTAACCATAAAGCTGGAAACCATTCGATATCTACTATTGGATCTAATAAAAAGTTAATTATAACATATTTAACATGCTATTTGTTGACTTTGTTCCATTATATTACCATATATATATCTTTTTGAAATCTAAAATATTTTTCCGATTTTAACCATGTGTTGTTGAAACCATATATCAATCTTAGCTAAAGTATAGTTTATGAGTCTGTCACCATCTAACGTATGAATTTTCAAAAATGTCAAATATGTTCATTTTTTCTGTAGATTCAGCCATAATTTCATGTTGTTTACTATTCAACTATTATTTAATATTTTTATCGATTTAAATATATGATGAGATGCTTAGTTCTCCTGGAAATCGATTTTTAATCGCAATTTTAACTTTCCAAAAAAATTCAAAAATAAAAATCCCTCTCAATTTTCTAAGTTTTATAACTCGCCAAATCTCTAGCCAAATTTTTTTTGGCCCGTATAAATATTGTTAGGCACTATATAGGGATGCTATTTATCCTATTTTCATCCCATTTTACTGTTATCGCCTAGTGAATGTACCTTTTCTTATACATCATAAAACCATTGTACAAATAGGAAAGTAGTATAGCTATTATAATTAATACTTCCCAATATAATCAAAGGTAACTAAACTACTTTCGCCGATCCGATTTGCTCCATATTTAAAATATAGCTTGCATATGTAGAAGAAAAGCTAATTTTGAAGTACGCCCGAAATCCACCAACAGGATTTCGAGCTACTAAAAAGGTACTTTTAAATGTGATTTTTTTTATAAAAAATTAAATTTATTTTAAGATCAGACTAAAAACTAATTTTATGGAAAATCTATATCGACAAATTTATTACTTATTGGGTATATAGATTTTTTGATTATGGCGATTATGTCTGATATGCTTCCAATAAGCCAAAACACATTTCATACTGATTTCTATAAAAGGTATCTTTATTATAGAAGTGTAAGCTATATCTGTTTGTTTTTTTATTATAACAAATTCAAAATTCTCTTATAAGGACTAGATGAAATCTGTATTATTAAATCATTAGCTAAATGAAGGTTCAAATAGAAAGTAAATATCAATTTATATGATACTGAAACCAAATAGTTCTTTTAATAAAAGATAACACGCTGAAAATTATTGAGTATTTGCAAATCTCAAAAATCTATTGGTGAATTTGGCTCAACTTTTAAAATTATAACATCCATATCAAATCATAAAAGCAGACAAAAATTAAAGCCAAACCTATCGGCCAATTTTTTTTGATATTTTGATTTTTGAGGTATACTTTTAAAAGTGGATTTAAAGCACTTATGAAAAAACATTAACTTCTGTCGTTATGATTATTGATTTAGACAATAATGATTTTAATCTTTGATTATCAAAACACTAAAGTCATCTTTTTAACATTTGCTTGGTAGCATTAACTCAAGTCTAAAGTACTATTTTATGTGGCACTCTTAGAATTTTTGTATTCATTGTACACGCTGAAATAGTACCATTAAAGTTATGGCGGACTTTCAAAAAATAGTTTGGTTACCTTTATATAATCAAGAACATTTTGGCCAAAAGATAGTGAATTCTGTCAGTTTTTTATTTTAGATGAAGATAAAAAAATCATTTCTTGCTTTTTTTTGTACAGTCAGCTTAATTGCCCATACAATTATCGTCATTATTACATATTATTGCATGAAAACAGACGACGATCTTAAATTTCCTTCATTGTTTCAAACAATTCTCGATTGGAAAGGGCTTGCCGTATTTTCATTTTTCTTTAGTATCACTCTAATACTTTATTTACTATTTGCACTTGGAGTTGGACATACGATAGCATTTCTTAATGTTCGTATCGGTAATGTTTTAAATATAATATCTTACTTAAAAATTACGTTACTCTTTGTTACAACTTATATTCCAAGGAATGAATATTATTATGCCAATTTTGTTATGCTTGTAATTTTTATTATACTTCTATTTGTTTGGCTTATTTTAATTTCAATTGCAGAAAACAAACCTCGCTTAGAACAAAATTCTCACGATTACTTACTCATAGTTCTCGCAGCTCTGGTAGGAATTTGTGGCTTTCTTTATTTAGTTTTTGGAGCAATTAACAAAAATTATTCACAATATGTCATGGCTGCAATCTCATATGCCTTAGTTATTCTTATATGTGCAATTCCACTCATATTACGACAAGAGTTAGTAGAATTAGATATAAATGTTACTTTTGACGCCCCATTAATACCATATTAACTAACACGACCGTATATCGATATACAGAACAGATAAACAAACCGATACGTTTAGAATCCATACAATTTAAGAAAAATGTTTGAAATCTCATTCAAATCATGTTCTCTCATATCTCAATCCCAAGTTAAGTATTAAAAGTTAAGATATACAACGTGTTTAAACCTCAAAAAAAATAATGAAAGAACAAATTCAAAAAAGAAAATTTAGGGGCAGGCCGGAATCGAACCGACTACCCAGGGATCTGCAATCCCTTGCTCTACCGGTGAGCTACTACCCCAACACATTTTTGTCCAAAAAATTTATCGCGAATTCGAATTTTTCTAGTGTGGTTAAAATTTGAATTGAATAAGGTTATAAATTTATCCAAATTGTTATGGAAGAGAAGCAATTTCTTTCATGGATGAGAGAAACAGGTAAAATCTTTACTGGCGAAGAATACAAGTTAAGATATGGAATTTGGCTTTCAAGCAAAAGATACATTCATTCTTTTAATAATGCAAATCTTGATTTTACTCTCGCAATAAACCACCTTGCTCATTTGACGCCATCGGAGTACAAATCATTATTAGGCTTAAAATCTTCTCCCCATTATTACGTTTCTGATAAAATAGAAATTCCATCAGCAACTTCTTGCGACTGGAGAACTAAGAACAAAGTTAACCCGATCCAAGACCAAGGCCAATGCGGTTCTTGCTGGGCATTTTCAGCAATACAAGCTCAAGAATCACAATGGGCAATTGTTTACAACCGCTTGCAAAAACTTTCGGAGCAAAGCATCGTTGATTGCGTTTCTACATGCAATGGTTGCGATGGAGGTGATATGGATAAAGCTTATGATTATATAATTTCAAAACAATCAGGGCAATTTAATCTAGAGACAGAATATCCATATCTCGGTTATCAGGGCACATGCAACTTTGGAAAGAGATCCAAAGTTCAAAAGATAATTAAATACATAGAAGTTCAAACAGGAAATGAAGACGATTTAGCCGCGAAAGTTGAGAATTACGGACCTGCAGCTATAGGAATTGATGCTTCACACTATTCATTCCAGATGTACCTATCTGGAATCTATGACGAGAAATCCTGCTCACCAACGAATCTTGACCATGGCGTTGGCTGCGTTGGTTTTGGCGCTGAAGGATCAACCAAGTACTGGATTGTTCGTAATTCTTGGGGAAGGAACTGGGGAGAAAAGGGCTACATTAGAATGATTAGAGATAAATCGAATCAGTGTGGCGTTGCTACACGTGCTATTATTCCAGTTGTTAAATAAATGTATATAAGACTAACATTTCGATTATTATTTTCTCTTCGTAGATACTCAAACAGAACCCAAAAAAATGTTTTTTAATTGAATTTTAGATTCTTTACTTTCAATCTTCTCAAAAAGTCAAAAAATTACTAGATACAAATTTATCGAATCATTTTACTATACTATTTTGCAGCACTATGAAGTTCTGATTTTAATTGAAATATACAGAACAGTTATTTTTCAAAACCCGGTAAAATGATTTAAATTGATGGTTAATTAATTCTGCTTTTTTCCCCTAATAATTCAATTTTTTTGAGTATAACGTAAAACCGCTATCTGTAATAATTAAATTCAGATTCTTCATTACCATATATTACTTCAATTGATAAACTATACAGCAATAATTCAGACGATGCTACTTTTTACACGCACAATTTTTTTTACAAATTTACTCGATATGAATCTTACTAAGCAGAATGTCGCGAAATCTGCATGTCTTCCTTTCACCCTGAAAGATTATAAATTCACTTCAGTTATTGGAAAAGGAGGTTTTGCAGAAGTTTACCTTGTCGAATCAATAAAATTTGGAACAAATTTTGTTGCTAAAGTAATGACTGTCGATGAATCAGAAATACAAAAGACTTGGGAGATATTCGATGCTGAGACAACTGCACTTTCAACTCTAAATCATCCACATATCATCCGACTTTATGATCATTTTCAAATTGGAACTCAATTTTACTACATTCTCGAATATTGTCCTAATGGAAGTCTTTACAATGAAGTACAAGAAAAAATGGGCCTAAGTTATCCCCGATTTATAACAGTTGCTACACAAATTGTTTCTGCCTTACTATATTGCCATGATCATGGGATTGCACACAGAGATATAAAGCCAGGAAATATATTATTAGATGAATACAAGCGAGCTAAACTCAGTGATTTCGGACTCTGTCTTCAAACAAGTGCAGGACAGTTACATAAGGCTTTCTCAGGATCAAATGAATTTACAGCTACAGAGATATTCCTTAAAAAACCAAATGACCCGATGAAAGGAGATGTATGGGCTTTAGGTGTCACTTTTGCTATTTTAATTTCGGGGCAATCACCATGGAAGAGTGATTCTCTCGGTGGAATGCGGCAACTTGCTCAAAAGGGATTCTTCCGTCTTCCAAAATCAGTTCCACAAGACATTCGCGAAATAATTAGTCAGATGATCGTTGTAGATCCAGATCAGAGAATAACAATGCAACAGTTGTATCAGAATCCTCTATTTCATCAGACTGAACAGAGTATTCAACGTCCTTTTATTAAAAAATCTATGTCAGGCAATATCAAATGGGCACCTATCAAAAGAACGATTCAAGCATGCGCTACTTATGGAGAGTTCCCAGAATTTAAAGATGAATCACCTATATGCGTTCAATCACAATTGAGATGCGTTTCTAGCACTTTCCAACATAATTTACTTAACAATTCACGTGTAAAATCTAGACTGAGCAAAGCAGTATCTGTTACATTTTCTGAATCCTTTGAGGATGTGAAATTCCTTTCATAATATTTTTATGTTTTTAATTCATTTATATTTTTTGTTAGAAATTTAAAAAGGTAGTCTCACGAAAATACGTTATTTTCCCGATGCCTTGGAAGCAGCTTTGCAGGTTACCCGTAAGGTAACCAGTAGAAGTTTCTGAGCAAGGATGAAGAAGATTAAAGAGCCTTTTTATTGCAAACGCTATATTTGTAAGTGTCTTTGTAGAACTTCTCATAAATTCAAAGATTTCCAAAAACGAATTTTTCGATTTTGATATAATAAATGATATTTAAACAAATTATAGATGTGTTTGCAATTAAAAAAATCCGAGTTAACTACAATATCTTCAATTTTTGTCGTTCACTTTTTCATGTCATACTGATAGCAAGAATACTCACCCAATTTGGTTACACTTCATGATAGTTTGAAGTAAAAAAAGGCCACAGTTTTTTTTATTTGATATCGTTATCTAAATTTTGTACAGAAATGAAATAAATTATAATATGAAACGTGTGTTATTATGCTTATTGGGAAACAATCCAATACTTATGTCTGAATGAAATGATTATTTCTACGAGATTTTTCATATTCAGCTAATAATGCTATCAAAATCAAATAACAATAAAAAGTTATTTTGTACATAATGTAACTTAATCTTTAATACTATATAGAACTTCGAAATACGACTAAACGGTGCGAGTTACGCGATTAAATACCTTTTTTTCGATCGAAACTTGAAAGTGAGGATAACTCAATGGGTAGGGGTATGGGTTCGACTTTTTCTATTGGGCAACTATTTTTTTCTTTTCATTGTTTCAGCATTTTTTTATGCGATTATGCATAATTATTTGATTTCCTATATATTCAATAATAAATTTGTTCCGAACTCTTAACAAATAAATAAATTTTTAGAATATTTAAATTTATAGCTCCCTACATTAATATAAAGTGTTCGAATAGTTCATATATAGTTTCTTTAAAATAATTTGTTTCATTTTAAATTGGTTTGGCACAATGCTTGACATAACATGCACAAAGCTATGCCATTTTAAAATATGTATATCAATCAAGCCGATTAAGTCCATCCTAAACGAAAATCATCGATACTCATGAATTTATGATAGTCGTTCTTGATATAATTGCGCGTTTTAAAAAATGCTTACTTTTGAACACAGAACTTATCTATCCATATTTATCAATGAAAGTTTATAAGATGCATTAATGACAAAACCTTACTTTATCAATTATAATCTTATCGTAAATTTCAAACTACAATACTGTGGGGCAAATATTAAATAACCACTATGTTGCGGATTTTATGTAAGTCTGCAAACTGTAAAATGTAATTAAACACAAATAAAAAAAAATGTAAATTTTAATCGAGAAATTTAGCAATCTTGAAAGCCTTGATCGGCATCTTTTACAAGATGTCAGTAATGCATATTCAATAACTATGAAAATCTAGCCAAGCATGGATTTTTTTCGAAAAAAAATTGTATTAAATTTCATTTTTCATTCTTTATACAAGTTTTAACCTTTGGTGCAATTATATCCTATCGCAAATGCATTATTGACGTTATTACTTGGATACTTCTTCATAACGCTAAATCTTCAAATTAGTTATGTTTGTTACTAATAGAAGTTGGAAAGGTATTAAAAAAGGAAATGTTAATAAATATACATGTTTAATTAAAAAACAAACAAGAATAAATTAAATAATTTTATTTCTTAGGAAAGTCTAAGTTTTGTAATAGATAAATTGCTTTTTGTGTCTCTTCTTCATCAATTTCTGGATGTTGATTCTCAGGTGGCGGACTAATTAAAACATCATGGGCAATATCAAACCATTGTTTTAGTTCGTTGGCAGAAGGAAAATGATCTTCTTGTATTGGCGTTATTAATGATTGAAAATCATCAGTTGATTCTGCATTTTGGGAATTTTCCAAATTTTCATTTGGAAAATTTGAATTTTGAGATTGAATTCCTTGAGATGTAGAATCTGTAGTTGTAGAGTTTTCTGTAGAAGAAGAGGAATTTGAGTTTGCGAATTGTAGTATGTCATTGAAATTCTCATAAAGAGGTGTTTTGGCCATCGGCACTTTTTGTAACTGTGTTTCGTATGCTTGAGATGGGCAATAGCCCCTATTTTCTGAAAAAGGAACTGGAGCTTTTATTTCAATAATTTGATCCAGTTTTTGTCTTAAAATTTCCACTCCATTACGCGGAAAATCTTTGCTGTAAGGTTCAAAAACACTTAATGGTTGTGTGTGATTGTATTTTATTAATCTTCCCCAAACTGAAAATACCTGATCTTCGTGCCAACCAACTAAATACATAAGATCGGTCGTAATACTGGCAATATCTTCATCTGTGAATATATATTGGGACTTAATATCTTCTGGCATCTCCTCGACATTTGCCATATTTGCTCCTGAATTATCAAGTCTGCATTCTGACACAAGACGATCAAAATTTTGTTCACGGTAGGTTTGGTTCATTACCAAATGCGCTCCCGCACTCATCAAATCTTTAACTTCTTTTTTTGAATGCGCAAATTTTCGGAATAAGGCAAATAAATGTTCAACCGGAAGGGTTGTGAGATGTTGAAAATTTATATTCGGGAATTCCTCTAAAAATCCATAAAGAGTGAGAAGAGATGTCGCCATTTTCAGAAGATGCATTCTTCTGGCAAAAAGATAACCTTTGAATTTGAGACGATGATCTGGTGTCTCTATATTAGGAAGTCTATCAGTGACTCCGACCACATCTTGCAATCTGAGAAAGAAATGCAAGATGAAAAAAGCAAGTTTGAACATTGACAATCTTGCTTCAACTGGTAATATGGTATTTCGGACTCCCTCAAACCAAAGTGCAAGTGGAAGGAGCCAAGTTGCTTCAGTGTAGCAATTATTATCTAGCATATCCTTGACGGTTTGAACGTTAAAGATTGTTACAGGATATTTGTCATTGAGTGTGGTAGACTTATCACAGTTGTTAATTGCATCTCCAAGTTTGGAAAATAATCTAATTTTTGTAATATCGACGTGCAGCGTTGGATCATAAGGTTGCAAAAAGATTAACTTATTGGGGAAAATTAATAACGTTCTGAGGTTTTTGCCTATATGAACGACGTCCGCGATGAAGATAATCTTAAGATCTTGGAATTTTGCACTTTTAAGGACTTCTACTAATCCATCAAAGCCAGTAACTAGGCTGTACCAATGGTGAAAGAATATCTGATAAACAAAATCGTAAGATTTGTCACCATCAGTTGTAAAAACTGGAACATTCAGTGTTTTCTGAACTGTAGCAATGTAATCCAAGATTTCACTCATAATTCCAGATGCAAGACCATTTGTATGTTGTATTATATGCAAACATATTGATGGACCTTTGCAATCTAATGGCATCAAATATAATGCAAATAAGTCCTCGATTTGATCGTCATGGCCGGACTTCTTCCATAATTTGCCTGTGATTGCATCTATTCCAATGCAAAAATGGCATTGTTCACGTAATTCCTCATCTGTATATGGATATAATTCCCTGAATCTGAGGAATACTGGGAGTGAAGATGATTTTGAAAGCAAAAGTTCCTTCCATGCTGCAATATCTTTACCAAAGACTCGAAATAGAGTTGCTTTTGATGGCAACATAAGTTTCTGTCTTGCCAACAAATATTCTGAGGGTTGTTGGCAATACAACATAAAGGCAAATTGAAGTGTCTCCGCATAGTATCGTCGGCTCTTTGAGTTTGGAAAATTTAAATTATATAACATGTTATTAATGATAACACACGTTAATTTATCTGCAAACGGAGGGTACTTAAATAATGGGGTATAATCATCTAATAATATTTCGCTTAAACTCAAGGATTCATCACCATTTGTTTCATCTTCATCTTGATCATCAGAATCATCTTCATTGTCATTGAGAGTTTCAAGATCTGCCTTTTCTGCTTCTTGTTCTAATTCGTCTGCAGTTCCATCTTGTATTTTTCTTTGTTCATTGATTTTTTTCATTTGCAGAGATCTTTGATAGCTTAGAGCACGGTTTTTGGAAGCTGCAATCATTGATTTAATAGTATTCTCTTGTAATAGTTTTGATTGATTGGGACTTGTTTGATAATCTGCGATATTATTATAAATAACACCAGGAAGTTTTTCTTTAATAAGCTTTTCAAGCTTCTTAAATGTGGCAATATCTACACATGATAAATTAATTTCTATCTTCTCACTGTTCATAATGATTTGTGGGAAAATGATTAAGTGGCCGAACACTTAAAGCATTTCTTTTTCGTTTTATATCAAAACAGATTTAGATAGCTTAAAACAATATAGTTTACTCATAAATACATCTTGATAATTCACTTCTTCAATTTTCATAATCTTATATCCTGACCTATATCCTCTTATAAACCATATTTCTACTGAGATCTTCTTAAAGCATCTTTTTATCCCTATCTACGCCTCGAAACCCTATTTTTCCGCGGAATATGAATCTTCGGGTCTCGCTGATTCGATTTCTGCAGTCAGATCGTAAAAATACCCACTACATAGCCTGATAATCTCAATTTAAGTTCCTTAATTTTTTTGAAAAAAAAATTAAAACTCCCTTATCAAACATCATGCTCATTTTTACGAATTTCATTTTTCCTTTAAGTTTAAAATATACGCTTTTTAGCATGTTTATAATACATTTTCAATTTACATTTACATTTTTATTTTTGAATTGTTTATTTATATTTCCGTTTGAACAATAATATTTATTGAAAATTGTGAGAGAAACGGATATAATAAAAAACACCATACAACAAAATTCACTTTTTTTCATACTTACGCGGATCACTCCTTTTCGGCCCAATATGCCGGAAATGATAAAACTCTCAGATCTAGTTGCTAAGATCTAAACTCTCGACTCTCAAATCTACTTCCTCAGATCTTGTTGCTAAGATCTACTTCCTCAGATCTTGTTGCTAAGATTCAAACTCTCGACTCTCAAATCTACTTCCTCAGATCTTGTTGCTAAGATCTACTTCCTCAGATCTTGTTGCTAAGATTCAAACTCTCGACTCTCAAATCTACTTCCTCAGATCTTGTTGCTAAGATCTAAACTCTCGACTCTCAAATCTACTTCCTCAGATCTTGTTGCTAAGATCTACTTCCTCAGATCTTGTTGCTAAGATTCAAACTCTCGACTCTCAAATCTACTTCCTCAGATCTTGTTGCTAAGATCTACTTCCTCAGATCTTGTTGCTAAGATCGATCTATTATACTCAATTTTACTTAAGCAATATAGATCACCTTTATTATGATTCTCTTTATCGGTACTTGTTTAAAATTAATTTACATCATAAAGATCTAATTACAAATTATTTAGAATTTTGAAATAAAACCAGTATTTTATCAAATGCTTTGAGATTAATGCATTCAAACTTAAAAAAAAAGATATATTCAGATCAATTTCAATATTATTGATTTTTTACTGTAAAAACTATGTCTACATAGATCTCAAACAATTTTATTAGATACTCTTTTTCCCAATTTTTTTCAAAATCTCTTTTTACATATCAAAAATTGTATTTTTCAATTTCATTTTTATTTTTTCCATATTTTTTTTGGAATTTGGATATGCGTCCAAAGTAGTTATGTCATTAGAAAAATATTAGATATCTGAAGAGAAAATGATAACTTAGAGAGTTTAAAAGATTTTATTTTCGAATACAAATATAGACCTCAGAGGAATACATTCTAAATAAATTTGTATCTGAGGGTGAATAAATAAGAACAAAATTTAAAGGGTTAGCATAAATAATGTAGAAATTAAGATTGGAATTTAAATTTAATACAAAATTAAAGGGAATGAATTTGCGATTAGTAGGGTATGGCAAAGGGATTGGGAAACATTGGTTACACATGAAAATTATCAGATGTAAGAATTTGGTGCAGATATTTTAAAAATGAGATCTGAGTGCTTAAACATTAAAAGTAGATCTTAGCAACAAGATCTGAGGAAGTAGATCTTAGCAACAAGATCTGAGGAAGTAGATTTGAGAGTCGAGAGTTTAGATCTTAGCAACTAGATCTGAGAGTTTTATCATTTCCGGCATATTGGGCCGAAAAGGAGTGATCCGCGTAAGTATGAAAAAAAGTGAATTTTGTTGTATGGTGTTTTTTATTATATCCGTTTCTCTCACAATTTTCAATAAATATTATTGTTCAAACGGAAATATAAATAAACAATTCAAAAATAAAAATGTAAATGTAAATTGAAAATGTATTATAAACATGCTAAAAAGCGTATATTTTAAACTTAAAGGAAAAATGAAATTCGTAAAAATGAGCATGATGTTTGATAAGGGAGTTTTAATTTTTTTTTCAAAAAAATTAAGGAACTTAAATTGAGATTATCAGGCTATGTAGTGGGTATTTTTACGATCTGACTGCAGAAATCGAATCAGCGAGACCCGAAGATTCATATTCCGCCGGAAAAATAGGGTTTCGAGGCGTAGATAGGGATAAAAAGATGCTTTAAGAAGATCTCAGTAGAAATATGGTTTATAAGAGGATATAGGTCAGGATATAAGATTATGAAAATTGAAGAAGTGAATTATCAAGATGTATTTATGAGTAAACTATATTGTTTTAAGCTATCTAAATCTGTTTTGATATAAATTAAAGCGTATACTTATGCAAAATGCGAAATTTAAATTAATACTTTTTTTTGCTATTTGGACACAAAGCTAACAATCCATCCAATAAATGACGTATACCTAGCGAGATGAAGCATTTTAACATGAAAGACAAGAAAATCTGATTACTTGTGTTGAAAGTTTCTGTATTTCGTCTTCTTCCAAACACAGCGTTCAGATGCAGAAGAAAATGCAGCCGTAATGACGCAAAAAGACACTAAAATAAATTGGAGAATTTCTGTAAAGTTTTTACTGAGCTTTGTTATTGAACCCGAATTTGTTGCTGAGTGACAGGATATTAAATCTACGACATTCATGAGTAATTGTTATCAATTTGTCAATAAATTATGTTGAAGATGGTTTAAATGTCTTCGAAGGCATGAAATTAGATCCTAAATCTGTTTGAGTTAATAAAAGAGAACAAATGTTGAAAGAGTTGTCATATTGCCTACAAAATTTTCAAACATTTGCATTGAGACAATGTGAAAAAATGATGTCCAAAATACCTGTACTAAAATATTTTTAATTTGAATCATAACAAGGAAAAACAATAATGGCAGAATAAGAAAAAAAAACAAAGATGTTATGATTTGAACAGTTGCCTTTTAGATTCAAAAAGAGCATAGTTTTCCCAACCACTACACTAGCTTCCTTTCCGATAAAAAGCTGAATAATTAGTATTTAATGAATTCTCCAGCTTGGGGATTTGCGGCTTTTCCAAAATCTGTTATGATAGTTCTATATAGCAATTGATATATAATATGTTTTTTATAATCAAATAATTTTTTAGTCCAGATAAATTTTTTAAAATTTCAAAGTCTTTCCATTCTACTAACGCTCTTCACATCCATATTCTTTACCATATATGTAATATAACGCCTTATTTTAATTCCCATGTTTACGATTTATTTTTCGAAAAACTGTCTTGCCCATTAACATCTCGGAAAAATTTTCGACTTTTTGAATGGCCGTTTTCAAGATCTCAAAAACTGTGGGATATTTTTTACAAAGCTAATCGACATTTATTTACCACATATATGTACTATACAATGCACCTGGTTTCATCGAATTTTTACCGTCAGTTTTCTCGTGAGACTACCTTTAAATTTAAATATACTTATATTAATTTGACTACACTTTATTATTTATAATTTCTGCTTCTGATTACAATCGAAAGTGGAAAAAATTGTTTTAAAATCTATTATTCATATTCATGAGAAGTCTTGTTTTAACGGTATTGTTGATAAACTTTTATTTTATAAAATTTAAAATGTCTTGTGAAATATTTTTCTTTTGAACAAATTATTTGACAATCATAAATCATATATACTATAAATAGTTGAAATTTCGATGTAGTGATGATATTATGAAAGAATTATTAATTTTTCAAATTTGAATCCAAGAAATATGCTTAAAAAGCAGGAGTTATTAGTTCATACTTTATAAATCAAGAAATGTGGCTATAATGTCATTGTTGTCCTTATGTTCTAATTGATATCGTCTTGTCGATGTTTGAATTATTCATAGAATAAATTGAGAAATAATCGATTTTTTGCTTCTGAAAATAAAGCTCATTTGCAAACTAATAAAAGACATAGGAAATAATAATGAAAGGAATATAATGAAATTTGGTTTACAAAATATTGAAATTTTGCCTGGTCAAAAAAATAGCTAGATTAAGCCGAGCGATCTAACGTTTAAGGCTAGACGATCATGATTTGAAATTTTAAAATCGAATTAAAACCATTTTTGATAAAAAACAATTATGATAGTAGAGAGTATAATTATTTCTTTTTCTAAATTTGACAACTTTAAATAATTGAATACTTTAATGGGAATCCGTTTTATATCTGCGGATTAAGTAAACATTTCAAAAAATAAAATTTTGAGAGCGATTATGACCAAGCATTCAAAAAGTGGACCAAATTCTTCACAAAAGTATGAACATGTCAAAAAATTTAAATCCTTTTGTACAAAAGATATTATAAAAACTTAATTAATAAATATTTACTGAGCGAATTTATGCATTTGGGTAAGTAATAAAAAATAAAATTAAGTAACGTAAATCCGAAAAATCTTTGTTTTACTTTGATAGATTTTTATAATCATATATATAATAATACAATAAATCGCTTATTCTTTGTAAGATCCAAAGAATTCCATCAATGCTTGATTTGAAACGCGAAAAAGGTCGTTTAAGAAATCCATTCCGGATATATCTGCTGGTTGAACGCTAGATCTCTCAGATTTCAAACGCCTTGTTATTTTGAAGTTTTTATGGGGTATCTTATGGTACTTCTTTAATGCACTATTCCATCTGTTCTTAATATTAACTCCACTTCTTCCAGGAAGGAATTTGGCAATTTGAACCCAATGGGGGCCATATTGCATGTATTTCTCAATAATCAATTTGTCCTCGTCGACAGTCCACGGCTTAGCTACCACTTCTGTGTATAAGTATTGATTGTATCTGTCACGACACTGGCTGGCTGTTCTTCCAGGCAAATTTTTAGCTATTTCTTTCCATGACAGTTTGCTATGTTGCGAAACAATGCTCCTAAGAATTTCATCTTCTTCTGATGTGAATCTCTGATTCTTCTTTGGTGTCACAGGTATAGTCACGTTCGCTGCTGCCATCAAATATGTAAATAAATATTTTTTATTTGAGAAAAACATAGATTCGATTTCTGAAAAATAAAATATTTTTAACACGTAGAGTTAGATATATTTTTTTTAAAAAAATTAATATGAACGATCATCAATCAAAGAATTCAATTTAATCAAATGGCATTTCAAATATCGCTTTTTTCAGAACTAATTCACAATCATGAATAAAATAATTCGAAAATCTATTGTTTAGGATATATAGAGCAATATTTTGTTAAATTGTTTTCATGTCAATTTTTTTATCGATATATGGTAATATCTTACTAATAGTACATATTTTAAATTTATACTAAAAACGAAAAAAACCCCATATCATGGGCGCTTTTAATTTTTGAAAGGAACTCAAATTGAAATTCTCATAAAACTAGACTAAATTTTTTTGATGCCATTAAGCTTAATTAAATTCATTTTTATTATTAAACACTAATACTACTTGCCATCATTGCTATCATTTATTGATTTCAATGAAAATTGAAACGATTTTCAATCATACTCGTAAATCTAGGGTTAAAATGATTAATAACCACTTAATATAAGGAAGTCAATTTGGAAAATTGTTTTCACTTGAGGAGAATATAATTTTCCTTTTGGAAAATTTAAAAAGTGAGACGCGCAGGATTCGAACTTTTTTAAAAGTTGATTTAAATGAATTTTAGTGTGGAATATAAGGATAATATCATATTTAAAATAAGAATATACTAGTTTAGGTGGTATTAATTTTTTCGATAAATTTGAGAGTATGTACGTTTAGGGCATGAAAAGTGTCAATTCGCTCAGCGAAAGCTGAGCTAGCTTCGTTCTCGAAAGAATAAGGAAGGAGTGAAGGAGAATGATACAGAAGTTGACACATTCATATCATTTCAACAAATTTTGATCAAATTGAAATTCAATAAAATTCAATTCAATTCATATCCTTCAGTCAGTACATTGATATCCTTCTGCATCACAATGATAACTCGGGCATCAATAGTTCTACAACTAACTCAGAAAAAACAAGATTATTACTTCCTGCTTACAGCTTTTAAAAAGTTTCGATGATAAAAATCACTCTACTCTCGTTTATCGACATATGGTGATAGTAGGTAAACATATTCTTATCGATATTAAAAAAAATATTTGTACGAAAATCTTATCCAATTAGAGAGTTATTCATAAAGTATATGATAATTATAATTAGTTTATCTTTGTTTTATCTTTGAATAAACAATTTAATTTAAATTGCATAATATTTTTTGGTTGAAAGACAGGAAACTTAGTTGAGTTTATATTATTTTTATCGTTTAATTCATCGTATCAGTGAGTGATCCAGATATTTAAGATATTTAGAAAAAAATTATTAATTTGATTAACAAATTTTAATCAAAATAGCAAAAATCTATTTGATAGCTGTAAACAAACAATAATTTTTATTTCAAGCAAAATCACTTATTTTCATCTAAACGTATAAAATTGTCAATTTTATGAAAATAAATTGAAAATCTCATGAAATGTAAAGGAGAGTAATATTTTTCAATTTTCTTTTTTTCTTTGTCTCAAATATTTTCTGTTGGGAATTTTCTTGTTATCAAAAAATAATTTTAATATTTGTTTATTTCATTACATACAATAAAATTTTAAAAACTCTATTTCTTCACAAGAAAATTTTTTCCTTCATATGAAGAAACATTTTGTTCTCCATTTGATACTGAGTCTAAATCTCGATTTTTGAATTTTCTTCTTTCCAAATTTCTTTTTTCCAAATTAGAAGTTTAATTCAAATTTTCAATAGTTTATATATTTTCTCAAACCGTCTCAGATTTTCTCACTTTTTAGGGATTTTCTCTCAAAATATACAAAAATAGTAATATCAATACATGTGTCTAATATACTTTAAAACCATCGTGACAAAATTCAAAAACGAAGAGTTCTTCTCTCCAAATTTTTTTCAAAATCAAAAAAATCAGATAAAAAAGTACGTTTGGAAAATTCATTTTTAGCATTTTAGGAATTTTCTCACTTTTCTTCCAAATTGACATCCTTACTTAATACGATTTCATATCTCATTTAGATTTCTGTCAAAAATTTATTTTGTAGTAAGCTATTTGTTAAGCATTTTGCTAATTTTTGATTACCATGTTTTAGTTGTAATTTAATCGATCACAAATAATTGCATTTCTATCATAAAATTCTCTTTCAAATTTAAATTTCAAAATGATTTTATCATTTAAATTACATACTCTGATATGCAAAAATATTTATTGCATTTTTCCTGATAAAAATATAAAAAATCATCTAGAACATGTTACCCTACGTTCCCAACTTCTGGAAAACGGTTTTTCACCCTTATGATCAGTTTCAGACACTTTGGGAGTCTCCCAAACTTTGATATTTTGCATTATGATAGAGGAACGTGTCTAGTTTAACACACAGTTGTTTTAAAGGCAAATGATGATATCACATGAAATTATCAAATTATCAAATTTTGAAGTACCAGTCCAAAGGGTTAATTAGATCCTACACAGATGTGCGATAGTGAAACATATGTGTTCTTGATTTGAGAAGTCCTACTGATAGAGGTATGAATCTCACAGCTTTGTGTGAGTGTGTCTGACACTTGTATAGAGTGGAATATGCGCCGACATATATTATATAATAACATGTAGTTGATAATTATGAAAAAATAGAATTCGATGCGAATGATATTGAAAGTTGTTTTGTAATTTGATATTTTTCTTATATGTGTTAATTAGTAAATGGCTTGTTTGTTGTGATAGTACTGTGAAAAATGAAAGGTATTTTAAATTAAAAAATTGAGATTTTGAGATATCTCTAGAATTAAGAATTTATTATGTATTTGACTTTTATATAACTATATGTGTAAAGGATCTCGATGTCTATATGCTTTAAATAAAATTAAATAAAATGAGATAAAAAATCAAAATGGACAAGAAGATATATGGAAATGTAATTTGTATTGTGTTGTTGTTGTTGGCAAAATGATTTTAATACAGATTTAAGGATTTGGAATGGATTTGAAATTAAATGATTTTAATTCAAGGAGTAATAAGATTTTGAACTGGTTTTTATTTTGTGAATGTAAACTCCTTCCATAGGATATGTATTAGAAAGATCAATGTCAAACTTTTTGAAAGAATTGTTTTTTTGTTGAGCGATTTTCTCATATTTAATAATATATTTAAGTTGGCGTATCTTACGCCCTTCCAAAAATATGTATTAGAAAGATAAATTTTAAACTTTTTGAAAGAATTGTTTTTTTGTTGAGCGATTTTCTCATATTTAATAATATATTTAAGTTGGCGTATCTTACGCCCTTCCAAAAATATGTATTAGAAAGATAAATTTTAAACTTTTTGAAAGAATTGTTTTTTTGTTGAGCGATTTTCTCATATTTAATAATATATTTAAGTTGGCGTATCTTACGCCCTTCCAAAAATATGTATTAGAAAGATAAATTTTAAACTTTTTGAAAGAATTGTTTTTTTGTTGAGCGATTTTCTCATATTTATAGGGCTGTACAAGATTTAAAAAAACATTGCCGGGTTACCGTAGAGGCCTAAAAAAATCGCGCCTCGGCGGCAAGCCGCCTCGGCATTAAGAATGCGCATCTAAATTTTTATATGTCCTTCTTTCTTTTATTTTTCCCTTCCCTTTCTTTTCTTTTTCTTTTTTTTCCCTCCTCTTGCTCTCATTTACCTTTTTTTTCCTTTTCTCATCATTTTTCAAAATTTTAAATTTTTATCAAAAATCTTGCCTATAAAAGCAGACTATGGAACCTTTTAATGCCTCTTAATCAATATTATACAGCATAAAGCATATTAAATGAAAGTAATTACGTATAAATTTATTTTATTATCTTATTTATGAATTTTTAGCATGTATTGTTTAATATTAACTTTTCTGTACATTAAATATGATATCTCCAAAGTATGAATGCCTTGTAACGAAACGAAAACTTAATTTTATGTTGAATATTTGTCACAAACATTAGATTATTAAAATATATGTTGGATATCCCTTAGTATGAGACTTCATGACTCTTGTAGTCTAACGTGAGCTTTGGATTGCAAGCTCTGTGGTTAACGAACATAAATTAATTGTAAAGTTTTCAAAATTTTTCATCGTTTCTATCAGCATCTATTTTTCCTTTAAAATAATATATTTGTATGAATACAATATTTAGTAATTTTTTTATTTCCCATAATTTCATTCAAAATTTCAGAAAAAATTAATTTCTATTCAATATTATTTCAGCTTCAAAACACTTCATTCTTATAGATGTTGATTCACTAAAGTGTGATACTCAATGTCTTATTTCAATGAAAATTGTTCTGCAAATTTATTTCACTTTTGACCTCACTTTTTCCGTAATTCAATTTTTTACTTTTAATATTTTAGATCTTCATAATATCATTTGAAAAATTAACCATATAAAAAAATCAAGTTAACAATTCACTTTTTCCGTAATTCAAAAATCAAAAATATAAATAATATATCTTTTTATCAAATATTATTATTATATTCTATGAAAAATGAGGTCCGGAAATTTTGCGGATTCCCGTAACTCAATTTTACGGAAAAAGTGCAGTAAACTATTCAAAATACGGAAAAATTGGTGTAAACTAATGATTTTACGGTAAAATCACGGAAAGTCCCGGAAGAATATATGTGCCTATATGAAATTATACAAAAATGAATCAAACACATTTTAAAAGATTGTTCTTGTATTATAAATGCTATTCGCAGATTTATTAGTTGAAGAAAATTACCAAATTTTTGCCGATTTACAAAAAATGATTTACAAAGCATATTTTTATAAGGCTTTAAAAATCTTTAAAATGTGACCGGTGACGGAAATCCATGGTAACCAACCGCGGTTCCCGTTTGGAATGCCATACATATTTAATAATTTAAAACGATTTTATTTATGATCAAATTTTATATATTTTTTTGGATCAAATCCATTTTAATAGAATTTATATACTATTCATCTATTAGTAAACACTACCGTATATTATTTTTTAAGCTATCTTATTTTTTGAACTTTTATTCAAATCTTTGGTCGCAAGAAGAATTGCATGATAAATAAAAACATTTAATCAAAGTCAATTTTATTTTTCATATTCAAATGGACTGAGTGTTAACATTTAACATTTTTTGCTAATTGTCGTCAAAAATTAGGCGTAAAGCAAAAATTGATATTTCATATGGTTTTATGATAGATAAGCATTATATTCCCACTCATTATATTCGTAAATTTTGAGGTTTATCCTTCGCTTTTAAGATCATTGAATTTGATTTTTATATAAAATAGTTATATATTAGAAAATAATATGAGTTTATGTGATATTATTTTTCAGAAGATTTCATTCTATATGCCTATGAAAAGTACTCTCAAAACTAACTTTTCCCTAATTATAATTAAATCTAGAATATTGTATTATGCTTAGTATTATTTCATTTTTCTCATTCAATTTAGAATTTACAAATGTCAAAAAATTGAGAGTCGTCACTTTTGATGAATTTCTGTTTATTACACGATCAGACACACACATTTGTTACACAGCTTAAAAAGTGTTGAAATTTCTTTGTTCAATTTAATTTTTTTTCCATTCGAAAATTGTAATTTTAATATCAACATTATTAATATTTTAAATTCATATTTCATTGAACAATCATTTCAAAATTTTGTGTTATTATCTGGTCATTCCATTTTTCTTAACATCTAATTAATGATTTTAGAATTCTTTTAAAACTACCAATGGAAATCCACATTTATCAAACTGTTGCACAAAAATTTTAAATGAATCTTTATTTTTAGTATGAGAATTTCAATTTGAAGTTATTTTTTTTCTCCTTTTTATTTGCAGAACTGCGAAAATGTTTCTTAAATAAATATTTATATCGGAATATAAGAATTGATTGAAAATTCTTATAATTTTTTTTAAATTGGAGATATTGAAGAAGGTAATATCATCTCAAATAGTCTTAATTTCTTAGGAATCGCTAATCATTGTTGATAAATATAACTTTTATTATTCTTAAATATAAATAAAGAGTTAGCATTATCCTTGAATAATTTTAAGTATACTTTTAATTTCATGACCATAATATCTGAATGATTTGTAATGCGGACATTAACCAATGCATAACTCTGAAATATTACTTGAAATGATTAAAACATGTATATTAAGTCAAATTTCAGAATATTTGAACTACATGAGTCAATATCATTTGAAGAAAAGTTTTTTAAACAGAAATGAAGTTACAAAAAGGGATTTTTGAATCAGTTTATGGGAATATTTGAAGAATTCCTTATTCTTAAAAAATAACTGATCATTACTTAGATTCATGAAAATAATGTACGTAAACATTTTAAAGACACCAAAAAAATAGATGATGGTTTTGAGAAAAAATTTCAAATTCTTTATTAATATAATAATTTTTAATTTTTAGCCCAAAAAATAAAACAGCTATTATACCATTTTTGAAAAATATATTTCCGAAACTCTATCATATTATAATCCAATATTTATTAATTATTCCGTCATCATCTCAATTATCATGGATTTTGTAAATAATACACGGATTCAATTTTGAAATAAAAGATAGATTCATCAAAATCAAGTAATTTTTGTTCACTTAACCTATGGGGCAAAAATAAGTTCAGCATTTCCTAAAAATTATCAACGCATTTCTATCGTTCCTGAATTAAGAATGACTCTTAGTAACACAATCTATGACTCAATAATAGATTTTTTATCAGGGGAGATGTGGTGGGGTCAGCTCTTGGACTTTATGCTAGCTCACTGTGAGTGTTTTAAGCCAAGAGATTATTCAACCGTCGAAGAATTTAACATTTATAAAGATTATTGCGTATTTTTAGAACAAATTGTCGAAAAGCAATTATGTCAAAATGTTAAACTTACAACAAAACAGTTCGAACAAGTAATTTTAGATGGAATTGAAAATAATATACAGCAAGCCATTTCGATTAAAGAAACACTCACTAAAGCAGTAGATTTCGAACTATTTCGAAGAGATATGATAAGTCACAACGAAAGAATTGAACAAGAAGTTCAAAATGTATTATCCAATGAAAAAGAATCCCAAAATATCATTAATAACGAAATGTATCAAGTACAGCCTCCGAATAATCAGTCATCTCTTCCGTCATTAGAAATAAGATCTCCACGAAATCCGAGGAAATTCATGTTTAATAAGGCAAGTTTCATAAGCCATGCAATGAAATTTAGGAATCCAATGATAAACCCAATTTGTAATCCACCACAAAATCCTATTCAAATGAATCATGGGAACTTGATGATGAAGCACCAAAATCCGATTTTGCAGTCAACAAATACTGGTTTACCTCCTCTTCGCAGTCCAAGGCCTCCTCAGGCGAAATTGCCTCCTTTAATAAAATCTCCAAGATTTACTAACTAGTCAGCAAGTTACTATCAACTCATTTATTTGTAAGTATGTAAAATGTATTTTCAGCGTTATTTTGATTTTTTAAAATTCAAATCGGTGAAACATAAACGTTGAGAGAGTAAAATGTAATAAACGGTAATTGGATAGTCATGTGCTTTTTGAATTTTAATAAATCAAGAAAATCAGTTTCGCTTTGAAAATATTTCGTTGTAAACAAAAATCATCATTTTTCAAAAATATTATGCAGAATATGATAAAATCATATTAATTTTCAAATAAAGAATAAATCTGAGAGATATAGTTTTTATTCGAAAATTAATGATAAATATGAACATGTATACAATGCAGATTATTATTCATCGGTTTTAAGAATCTATCGGATAAACCATTTGCTCAAAAATCTGAGAAATAATTTTGAGAAATAATATCTAGAAAATTAGCATATATAAGAATTAGATAGGAAAATATTTGAAGGACTATTCAAAAAGTAAAATCAGAAAAGCAAAAATTGCATAATATTTTAAATTAGAAAATGTATATATATTTGTTAATAAATTATTGTATTTTCAATATAAATAAAATTCTTACAGACATAGTAACACAAATTTTAATTTATATATATTATTGCCATTTTATAAATTGATAATTGAATAGTTTTCCTTCAATTTTTTTTGACCTTAGGTTACAAATGCAAAACAAATACCAGATTATTGCTATGAGAATGATAGATATTTCCTTAAATGATTACTTTTGAATTGATTAAATTTTTACAATTTTTAACAATTTGTATTAGAATCAAATTTTCCTAATCATAAAGTATATAACTTTTATATGAAATATACAACAATACAAGGTTTATCATTTCCTTTCAAAAAAATTAAAATGATCATGCCAACTTCTTTTGAAATATCATATTTATCCATGATTTTATCTCATTTTCATTAACAAATATAAAATCTTTTCAATTTCTAATGTTTGCTTATTCGATCTATTTATCAATTCATCTCATATTTTATCATAATTTATTTTATCAATTCAATTTTTATTTCTTAAAATCTTTATCAGTTTATCATAGTCTATAAAAATATTTAAAGAGTCAACTTACAAAAATTTCAATTAATTCAATACTCTTCAAAAATAAATAAAAACAATAATGTTTCCACAGCAAATTTATTACCAGAACAATATGATTCCAAACTATATGTATAACTATAACCAGCCTCAGATCTATGTATCACAGGTCCCACAAATCCTTCAAAAGCTCCTACCTTATCTATTAATTTACCTGTTTTTAGTTATCAGCCTTCAAAACAAGTCGTCATTCCGTTCGACAAAAAGCTATGCAATGATGGTATGTTTAATAGCATGGATGAAGCAATGCGCTTTATCTCTCGCCATTGCATTAAATATCATGGCCAATTTACTCGAAGTTTAGCTAGAACCTATTCTAAGCTATGCTATGTATTAGACCTTGTTAATGGTGTTTACTGTCCAATGAATGATCTTTCCAAGAAAGATTTTAATGCGAGTTTTCTTAAACTCGGGAAAATGACCGATTAACGTAATTGCAATTAAAGTTTTGTTGTCTATCTCTTAAAGTTCCTCTTTTTTTTTTCCATTTCTGTATCCTATTTCCATATCCCAATATCTTGTTTAGGATGTTAATATTTTTTTTCTATTTAGAAACAAAATCACTGATAATATCGAATATAAACACTATAGGAATAAAATCCACTTTACAAAATAATGAATTAAAATATATCAAATATTTTTTTTTTTAAATAATATATAACAGGAATGCAATCTTATACAGTATTATTCATACTCATACGAGTCATTCTCGATGTTTTCGGTCGTCTAACTGATAAAGGAGGAAGCGATATAATTGCATCATCGGTCATAATGTTAGTATCAATATCAATTTTGGTAGTAATAACATCTGCATCAATTCTTCCACGTGAGATCTCTTCTTTCTTTTTAGCTTGTATTTGATTCCAGATTTTATCTTCGGTACATTCTCTTGTTTTAGTAGCTTTGGCCTTTTGAAGCTTATTCTCAAGTGCAACTCGAAGACGCATTCGTTTTTGATACAAATTCTTATTTAGCACTTGAGTTCTCTGTTGATGATTATCAATTTCCAGTTTTTGTCTCTTTTCAAGAGATTTCACGGAGGCCTCGTAGTCTCTTTGCATTACAATATGGGCCGCATCTCTTTCACGCGCTTCTAATTCTTTTATTTCTTTTGATAATAGTTCTGCTTCTTCAAATCTGCATTGTTGAATAAGTAAACGTGCCTGCTTTCTTAAATTCGAAAGCTGATTAGATGCACGGTTATACATTCTTGTTTTTGCTTCCGATGACCATCTTTCAACATGATCATCACATTCTTTCTCATGCAGTTTTAGTAATTTCTGAAACGATGCTTCCTGTTCTTCATTAAGTTTCCTTAGAAGTGTTTTCGTTTCTTCGTCAAATTCTTTTAATTCATTTTCGATTGCTTTAATTTGAGAATTGTATTTTTCTTCAGCTGACTTGTATGCAGATCTCTTCAAATAAACTTCTTTGTTACCAACCATAAAATTTATAGCTTTCGTGTATTCAATCGATTTTTCAAAATTATCGCTCTTTGCAAAACCCAATCTTTCTTCAACAAGGGTTTCAAGTAATTTGTTATATTCTTCATCCGAAATCGGTGGCAAAGTTTGACACCTGAGGGCAATTTCTTTCAGATCTGATTCAGTGTAAGTTTTTTCTTTGTTTTTTCTTGGTTTTTTATGAGAATTCTCTTCTCGTGGCGGTGGCTCATGTATTTCTTGGCTAGTTTCAGCATCATGGTGATCGACTTCGCCTTCAGTCATTACTAACGGCTTTTTGTACGAGATTTTATTTTGCACTTTTTGCTTTTACATGACAAAAAATTATGACGATGAAATATTTACTTATTCCTATTACCAGCGCTGGAAAGCACCATTGGACATCTTAAATGCATTGCATTATGCATAGGAGATAAACTGTGCTTTGATTCAATGCTTTAATCATAAGTAATCTTTGATAACTTGAGTATTATTCAATAATCGTCAATAATACAAAAAAAAGCAATAAAACAGCCATGGAAATTAAGCCAGAGACCGTAGGTTCTAGTCAAGGTAAATAGGCCTATTTTACTACTTCTGTAGTCATTTTTTCCAAACATTTCATGATTCGGCCTTTTAATCCCAAATGGACATTGAATCTCTGAAAAGGTAATGCGTGATAGGTTTATGCGGCAAAAAGATGATCATTTCAATAACTCAAAAAAAAATATTAATCACAATGTCAAGGGCTGCTATTATTATTTTTTTTTTGAGGAAAATTTTAAATATCTATCGTATTTTTGAATGGATACTGAAATCGTTATTTTCTTTCAATTTTTTTTGGTCAGGATTGTTTTTCATCTACTAAGTAGAATAAAATCTAATCAAAAACATCCAAATCCAAGTCTTTACATTGGCTTTACAAAACTTCAAAAAAATCAGAAAAGGGATGAGTGCCGGCCGCGCATCTCCGAAATCATCATTTTCAAGATCATCACTTGTCTATCCTAATAAGACACGAAATAGCTATTCTAACAATAATAGCAATAATCCTTTCACTCGGCCAAAGACTCAAATGACACAAAAGCGCCAGGAGCCCGAAGAAATTCCTTCATATTTAGAAGACTCAGAATGCGTTTCACTTCGTGAAAGCAATTGGGAAGAACCAAATTTCAGCGAAATCGAGGATGAGCAATTGAAAAAACTCGTCACACACTTGAATGAATATTCAACGAGCTGTGCCTCAAAGGAAAATTACAAAGATGCAAAACGCGCCGCTGAGCTTTCAAATCTTGCGATGAAAGAACTCAATTCAAGACTTAAACCAAAGACAAGATCAACAAAGAACACTGAATCTCCTGACGATGCCATTGAAAAAGCCAAGGAGAAATATAAAGAAAGGAACGAAAACACCGACAGAGAATTTGATGAGAGATTAGCGAAGATTCAAGAAAAGCATCAGCAAGAAATGGAAGCATTCAACAAGAAATGGAGTGAAGAAATGCCTCAAAAATACAGAAAACCATCTCAACAAATTTTGCAAATGAAAAAGATTGAGAAGCGCCTTGCAGCAGCTGGCGAATTTGATAATGCTGAGGATATGCACAAGAGGACAGAAGAATTGATCGCTAAAGAAGCAGATAATGCCCAATTATTGCTTATCCACGATTATAAGAACGCAAAAAACCAACTTCTTAGCAACCAACAAAATGACATCCAAGTTCTGAAATCATGGTATACAACACAAAAGTCTCTCAATGAATCCAGATTCTCGGTAGATCTATTATCTGCAGAGAAACGCAAGAACGTTGTTAACCAGCGGACAAAAGAGAACAATAGAACAATTTTACGCCTTACCTCCCGCGGAAAGATCTCGGTAAGCAAAATGAGAAACTCTGATAACGTTCAAGCCGTTCTCCTTCCTCCTCTCTTACCTCCCAACGATCCTCGCCTCCGCCACCAGAAGAAGAGTGCTCAATCCAGCCCAACTAAGAGGAACAACGAACAATCCAATTCGCAGCCTCAGTCTCCCAAAGAGAAAGAGGAGAACAAGGAGGAGGACATGTCTCTTTCGGCTGTTGTTCAGGACAAACTCGATGATGGCCAGCTAGAGAACAAGGAAGAGGCAGTCCAGCATCAGGAACAGGAACAGAAGGAAGAAAGCGCACAACAGAAAGAGGAGAAAGACGATCAAGATGATAACGCCTCTTTGAAAGAGGTCTTTGTCGGCGCTTTGTCCAATCCAAAGTCACCAGTGAGCGAGAAGGAAGAAGAACAGAAACAAGAAGAACAAAATGAAACAAAACAAGAAGAACAACAGAAACAGGACGAAAACGAGAAAAAGGAAGAAGAAATCAGCAATCCAATAATAGAAAAGATACAGGATGCTGCAGAAAAGGTCGAAGATAAAATCGATGAAAAGGAACAGAAGGAAGAAGAGCCAAAACATGAAGAGGAAAGAGATCTCAAAGATGAACAAACAAAAGAAGAAAAAATTGAAGAAGATTTCATTGATGAACAAAAAGAGCCAGTGAAAGAGAATGAACCAGAGAAAGAAAAGGAAGCAGAACAACAACCAGAGCAAAAAGAAGAAACTCAGCCAAAGCAAGCTTCTCTTTTAGGAAATCTCCAACAACTCCTTGAAAAGAAAGAAGAGGAGAAACCTGAGGAACAAAAACAAGAAGAACCAAAACCAGAAATGAAACAAGAAGAAGAGAAGAAAGAAGAAGAAAAGAAAGAAGAAAACACACCTGTTCTAAGCATTGCTGGAGCAATTGCAGATACAATTTCACAAGAAAAGGAAAATGATGAAAACGCCACATTCCAAACAGAACAGCAAAAGTTCCAAGTTGAGCAGTAATCATTAGTTTTATTCTCTTTTATGTTTTATTTGAAGACTTTGATAATTTAAAATGTTTATTTAAGGGTGCACCCGTATGTACGTTTATTTGAGAGGAGGAGGATTACCCTCTCAATTTTGAGGGATTCGTTAGTTTATTTTCTCGATGAATATGCAATAAAATTTGATTTTTACCTTATCAATATACTTCATATAATATACACATGTTCATGTAAAAACTTTTTTCCAAAATCCTCAGGAATTAAGAGATTTTTGAATTTTAAGAATTTTTTTCGAATTTTTTCGAAAAAAAAATATTTTCAGAACAGCCTTAACTGCTAAGATTTAGGAACAATGTTAAGTATCAAAAAGAAAGGAGGTCTGATATAGACAACATATATCGTTGAAGGTTGAAAAAATCTCTAATATTTGAGCCCAAAATTTCAAATTTTAATTTTTTGAAAAAAGAGGCCACCCGTATGTACGTTTATTTGAGAGGAGGAGGATTATATTTTTGAAAGGGGAAAACATTATGAATATGTTAATTATATAATAATATGTATTATTATAAAAAAGAAAAAATAAAGCACGTTAAAATTTTCTTTCTTGATTTTTTACAAAATCTACTTAGAATTATGCAAAATATGACTAAATAATTATAAATTTCAAGTTAAATTTTAATTTTGATAAATAATTTAAATTTCAAAATATCAAGTTCAGTTCGACTATGTATGTAGTAATTCCTCAATAAAGTGCCAAAACCCTATTAAAATATATGAACATTTTCAACATTTTAATGTTTTTATTTAAAAATTTGATGGAATATGAGCTTCAAACAATTATTATGTAAATAAAAATAATTAAATATATGTATCTATTCGTATTACAACCGTAGTAAGTCGATTCTTCCTTTCTTCTACTGAGTTTTGAATTTGATTTCGAATTGTAAAGAGATTCAAAGGGAAAATACTAGCGGATAAAAACTACCTCCATAAAAGGGTCATAATGGAGTCAAGTTGTATTTTTTGATATTTTTTGCTTTTCGAGCCTAAATAGGTAGCCAAGATAATGCCTAAAAATAAGGTTCTAAATTCTGAAGTTTACATGATCCTCTCGTGTGCACCCTTAATCTTTAAAATTTCGACAATTTTTTGACGATAATTTTTGATTCAATTATTTGTATAAGTGGTCGGACATTTAAGCAATGAAAATCATTAAACATTAATAAATGGAAGCATTGCTTATTCACAACCAGTATGGAATAGATATTGGTGATGACAAGATAGTAATTTCCACTCCTGATGGAAAAATTCTAAAGTCATAACTAACAAAGACGGAAGATCAACTCCATCTTACGTTTCCTTCAATGGTGGTCATCGTGAATTCGGAAGTATTGCAAAGAATAACCAAGTGCAATTCATAGAAGACACTGTTTCTGACTTGAAGTCTCTAATTGGATTAAGATATCGATCATCAGAGAGATCTGAACTAGAAAACAGAGTACAATATGAACTAGTAGAAGGAAAGAACGGTAACACCGCTGTTCATATCAGTTCAATAAACAAAGATATTACTCCAGAAGAATTAATAACTTTTGTAATCAACAATCTCGCAGACAAAGGAAAATTTAATGACTGTGATGTAGTACTCTCGGTTCCAGCAGACTGGACTCCCTCCAGAAGAAAACGACTTATTGATTCTCTCCAAGCAATCGACGTGAACGTAAAACAGCTAGTAAGCACTACAGCAGCCGCAGCCATCAACTATGCGCATACGAACAACTCCATTGTTACAGAATCCCCTGTCGAGGGACTTTTCATCGACTCAGGAAAATCCTCCACCACAGTTTCATTGATTTCTGTCTCAAAGAAGAACGTGATTGTCCAGAAAACTCTTACAAACAACGTGTTCTGCGGCCGTCGACTCGATGACATTTTGATTCAAGAAGTTCTCCATCGACTTAAGCAGAAATTCCACTTTGAGATGAATGAATCAAAGAGAACTAAGCTCAGATTGCTGAAGAGTGTCGAATCGCTCAAGAAGACACTTTCATCAAACAAAATATGCGAGTTTGAGTTTACATCTCCATCATTAGACGGCGAATACAAACTGCAGTTCACAAGAGATGATTTTGAGAAGCTGATTGAAGACTCCCTCTTCTCTCTCTCCACGACAATTGAGAATGTCGTCTCTTCCTCGAGAAACGGCGTCAAGTTTGTCGAAGTTTTCAGCGGAAGTTCCAGAATCCCATCATTCAAATCAACAGTAGAGAGAGTCTGCCACGTCTCTGCATCAACCACGATGGACTCAGATGAGTGTGTCTCGCTTGGCTGTGGCTTTCTCTCCGACAAGTTCCACAACATCAATCTGATCGAGAGATATCCTCTCTCCTTCAGCGTTGAGCCTTCTTCTGTCACTCTCTTCCCTGAGAATTCACAAATACCAGCGACTGCTGAGCTGAAGTTTGATCCGAGCGAGTTCAGCTACACAGTTCTCTGCGGCAGGGACCAGGTTGCGAGCATCACTCTCAATGACGGAGTGAATCAGAAAGATCAGTTTGACATCAAAATAGGATTGAGCAGCAACGGAACTCTTGATGTCGGATATGATGAGAGAGTTACTCTGGAGATAGAAGGATCCATTGAGCAGGAGGATTTGATGGATTTAAAGAAGAAACTGACTCAGATGGAGATATCAGATGAAGTGAATGTTAAATTGGAACATTCGAGGAATAATCTAGAAGCGGTTATCAACAGTTGTGATAGAATAATAAGAGAGTTCCCTGAATACATCGCAGCTCAAAACATTTCAACTGAATATTTGGCTCAAAAGGTAAAAGAGGCATGGATTTTCTATGAACAAAATGAATTCGATGAATCAGTTACAAGTGATAATTATGAAAAAATTGCTAGCGAATTAGGAGAGATTTCATCAAAAATCATCAGCGTTAAGAAATCTCACGAAGATTACGAAGATAGTATTAAACAAATGCTGACTAAAGCTAACAATTTGCTGCAGCAAAGCAAATCAGAGATGAGCAAAAAAGAATGTCAAAAAGTAATCGCAGAATTGACTGCATTGATCAATACTGATAAGTCACAGCCAATTTCATTCGATGAACACAAATGGAATAGAAGAATGAGATCTTTAGATAATGTTGTTAAAATGAGTAACGCAGGTGTATTCTAAATATTGTTGTTTCGATTTTAAATTTTTCCTTTCTTTCGTACATTTACTATTATATAGTTATAATTAATATTATAGTAAATCTATCTTGTAATCATTTGTACTCTAGATAAAGATGGTATAATAAGTATGTTTCTGGTTTAAAATACCATCTTTATGAATTACAAAAGCAAGTAATACTAAAATACATAATGAAGCTTTTTTTATCCGAATTGAATTGCGAAAGAAATTTATAGAATAGTGCTATATTAAATATTATTGGACCATTATTTGTATGCAATATGAATACATGAATAAATACATGAATTGAAAATTATTGGACGATCATTAAAAATTTTACCCATCGAGCTTGAGTGAGAGAACTTTTCCATTCAATTTCCAAAACTAAAATGAAATATTAGGTAGTGAAATAAAAATATATGATATTTAGCATTTGGATATTTTTAACCGAATAACCGATGAACGAAGAAAATTTGAAATAAAATTGACGATCATTGATTTTTTTGTTAATTAAATATTATCTAATATAACCATCAAATTATAATATAATAAATTGTGATGGATAAATTAAAATTTGAATACTACGACATAAAATAAATAACAAGTAATAATACCACTTTAAATAACAAATTTTCACAAAGCTGCTAAAGAATTAGAATAGAGATAATAATAACGGTGAAGTTTATTTTGGGGCCAATTACTATAGGACTATTTTAAACGCTATACATGCTTTTATATAAACGTACTTATGCAATAGAATTTCGTGGAAATGAAATTATTTAATTGCCTAAGATCGGAAATTTGCGAGCAAATACTTTATTAAATGCTGTCTTCTAAATATAGAACAATTTTTATCAATTAGCTTCGCAAAATATAAAAAATGATCATTAATTTTGGTAATAAGCTATAGTAATGATATATAATAGTTTAGCATGATAAAAAATTAATTCGAATACTTGAACCGAATTTGTATTCAAAATAAAAAATTTTATCTCAAAAAATGGAAAAAATTTGAGGAACCGAAAATTCTTATCTATGCAAAAGAATTTTAAATATTAAATTAGGTCATCATGTTTTTTCTCAAAAATTCTTTCATAGAAAATAAAATGTCAATGATATGACAATATATCATTAAAACACTAATAATTTGATAAAGAATAATTTCCAACTTAACAAAAAATGAAAGGAGAAAAATATGTGCTGAAAAAAACAGGAGAAACGATTGCCCCTTAAAAATTGAGAAGATATAGCGGTTATAAAATTGACATCGGCCACTTACGCTTCAATTAAGGGGTAAAATTGTAAGCCTAAAATGGCTTTGTTCACTTCACATTAATGCTCTCTTCATCATTCGAGCGCAATCTTCATCAACCACTCCTCTTCATTGACAAGGACACAAGAGTTGTTATCCAAGGTATCGGTAACCAAGGCCAATATCACTCCCGCCTCATGCGTGAATACGGCACAAAGGTTGTTGGTGCTGTTCATCCAAAGAAGGCCGGAAAGATCATTGCTGGACTTCCAATCTTCAAGAACATGAAGGAAGTTGTTAAGAGAACAGATGCTAATGCATCTCTTATCTTCGTTCCAGCTCCAGGTGCTGCTGCTGCATGCATTGAAGCTGCTGAAGCCGGCATGGGTCTTGTTGTCTGCATCACAGAACACATCCCACAGCACGATATGATCAAGGTCAAGAAGGTCATGAAGGAAACAGGCTGCCAGCTCATCGGTCCAAACTGCCCAGGTCTTATCCAGCCAGGCACACACACAAAGCTTGGTATCATCCCAACAAACATCTTCAGAAACGGTAAGATCGGTATTGTTTCCCGCTCTGGTACACTTACATACGAAGCTGCTTATGCTACAACACAAGCTGGCCTTGGTCAGTCCACAGTTGTCGGCATTGGTGGTGATCCATTCGCAGGACAGCTCCACACAGATGTCATCAAGCGCTTTGCTGCAGATCCACAGACCGAGGGTATCATCCTCATCGGTGAAATCGGTGGCACATCCGAAGAAGATGCCGCTGAGTGGATCGCTAAGACAAAGCTTACCCAGGAGAAGCCAGTCGTCGCCTTCATCGCCGGCGCTACAGCTCCACCAGGCAAGCGTATGGGTCACGCTGGTGCCATCGTTTCTGGCGGCAAGGGCACAGCTGAGGGCAAGTACAAGGCTCTTGAAGCAGCTGGTGTTCGCATTGCTCGCCACCCAGGTAACATGGGCAAGTTCATCTTCGAGGAGATGAAGAGATTAGGAAAGATCTAAATCTACTGCTTACTTTAAAAACTCATACTTCTAAATAGGAAAGCTTCTCTCTAAGAAAAATGCATTCTTTTTTTTAAATACCGAATTTTATATTATAATAATTAAACAGGAACAATAGGACATTTAAATATAATAGGAACAGGAGAAACAGATTGGATTCTCCTCTCAGAGTGTCTGCGCGTCCTCGCACGCGGCTTACCTAACATCAAATTTTCCATCTTGAGTCTTTCAGCATCATTTATGGTAATCCTCACGAGTTCGGTGATGGATACATAATGGAATAAACCATTATCCTTACCATCAACAGCGTTTTTATGATCGCCATCCGTTTTAATAGAATTCTGGCAATCATAAATAATGTCGCTCATATCGTCAATCTTAACGATTGATCCAATAGCTATATTATTCTGTGCGCTATCTCCAACTTCTGGGTTCGGATCGAAATATGATGTATCGAAGTCATTCTTTAAGGCAGGTATAAATGGAGGCACGATCTTATGGACATGCTTCCAATCTATTCCTTTGAAAAATGGATGATGCATGATTTCTTCGATAGATTTTGCTCCAAGCATTTTCTTTGAATTATGGTCCATCAGACCTTTGATCAAGTTCCACAATGCATCACTGCACTGTATACGTGGGATTTTGCCTTTACAAATATTAAGAATCGTTTCCTCTGCTGTTTCACCATGGAACGGCGGAACACCTTCGAAAAACTCATATAGCATTGCACCGAGAGACCAATAGTCAACAGAAAATGAGTGGGACATGTTAAGAATCACTTCAGGTGACAAATAATCCGGAGTTCCCACCAGCTTAACGCAACGTTCAGACGATCCTGTATAGGACAGTCCGAAATCGATCAACTTCAGTTGCCCATTCTTGTTAACAAGTATATTTCCAGGCTTGATATCTCTGTGAATAATTCCAAACTTCCTGAGATCGGCCAACGCCATGACAATCTGAGCTGCATATGCTCTGATAACATCTTTGGAGAAAGATCCAACATTGTCTAGAAGGCGGCTTAAGTCACCTCCAGGCAAATACTCCATGACGATGTACATGTTCTTAACACCGGCGATAGAATAGTACATGGAGACAACGGATGATGATGAAACTTGGCTCAAAGTCATCTTTTCGTTAAAGGCAGAATTTTGATGATCCATTTGATGGCGTGGAATGGCTTTGATTGCGAAGACTTCACCAGTTGTTTTCTTTTTAGCAAGATAAACGCGACCGTACGCACCATTTGAGAGTCTTTTTATGAATTCAAAGTCATTGATTGTTAACGTGTCGGCACGAATATGAATTTGCTTAGCTTTTACAATTCTTTCTTTTTCAAAACTCAATTTTGCAGCTCGCATTGATAATTCGTGAACAATGTGGTTATCAATATTTCGAATTGACAGTCTTTTGATTTTTGTGTTGATTCTTCTGATATAAGAACTAGACAATTCAATATTTTCATTCACTAACGTCGATAGAAGTGTATTTAAATGAAGAACTGGTAAAATTGTTGTCTTCGCTGGAATTTCATCTCCAGGACATGAATTAGCTAGATATGTCTTATTATTTTCAGCAATAAAATCTCTAATCATGATGTCAATATCTTTTTCTGATTTAATTTCATTAAAAGTTTGGACACAGTTTTCAAGGTGAGAACTGATCTGTTCAAGAGGAATATAGTTCTCGCAGACCCTACACAAGACATTTCTGGCTCTGCAGTCTGCCTCCACTATCACCATTGGTTGATCATCAAATTCATCTGGCTGCTGTAATATTGACTGAATGGATTTGATGATAAAAAATGGTTTAATAAGTTTTGAAGCCAATAATGATGCGTCAGAATCTTGAGTAATTGATGTATAATACTGAAGCTTTAAACAAATTAACATATGAAGCGTTCAATAATTTTTGAGTAACCTTTATAATATTGCATATTGACTCATCTTTTGGGCTTTTAAAATTTGAAATTAATTGGGCAAGAATGGTTCTTTGAGCTTTCAAAAGGCTATAGTAATTTAAATAATAAGTACTGTCGAATCTATGATTGATGCTTTTGTATTTACCAACCAAATCTTCAATCTCAACAAACATTTTGGTACTTTTGAATAAATTATTTAGATTAAGTAAATCTATCAAAAAATTGTTACAGTAGAAAATTAGTTTCATTATAGTATTTAAAACATAAATATTAAACTTCAATATGCCAATTCACCATACAATTTTGTGAAGAATTGTGAATAAAACCACTACAATTTTGAATAGAAATGAAAACATAATTAAAACATCATAATAAAGCGATTTTATTACAACATTTAAAAGTATCTTTCAATTATTTTGAATACGACTTTTGATAATAATCACACATTCTAACGTACTGCTATTTTTAAATCGATTATTATATATCTCGCATAAAACAAAACCATTTGAAATACAGTTTTGGCATTTTATTAATAATATTTTTTTTTGAAAAGTTTGGCAATCTAAAAATATTTCATGAATTATCCTCTAGAAAATTATTTACAATTGCAAACCATTGCATTATTTGAACTTAAATCAAGATTATTGGCTGAATAAATTTGAGACAGATCTGTATCAAAATATTTATGAGTGGGGGACAAACTCGCCCATTGTCACTTTTCATTAACCTTAAACCTGTAATTTTCATTATTTTAATTAACCTTATTTCTTTCCCAATTCCTGATTTATTTTATTCACTTACTATTAAAAGTCACATTTTAATAAAATATAATAATTTATTTATAGCATTTTTTACTATACTGTAATAAAAAATTAATTATAATAAATTAAATGTTTATTAAATCAAATGTTTTCTTTGCAATAATATTTTTAATGTTGAGTAAACAATGTTGGGATCAAGTGTATCATTTTTCAGACCTTTCTGAACAGCTTCAAGCATACTGATGCATTCGACTTTTTTAAATTGTGTCATTTCTTCGAAATCTCTTGTGATTTTTGATAACTTTAACACTTCTCTCTGAATCCAGACCTTTAATTTGCAACTTAATCAGGAATGAAGGAACAACACTGGAATATAACTCGATGACAAGTTCATCGAGTCGAAGATTTCGCCTTTCTGGGAAGTACTGGTGCTTCAAAACCTTGAAATGTGATTCCGAGATGTTGTTTGTTCCATCTCCTTCATTTCTATAGCGAAGCATCCACCTGTCAAGATGATGGCGCCACTGTTGGTCAAAGTATTCACGGGCAGCAGGTTTCTCATTTAAAATTTCTTCTAAATTGTTGTAAACTTCATCAGGATCAATTTCTTCCTCTTCAGAACCAAAGACCAATAATTCATTAAGTTATAGAAAGTTTCGAAGTTGGAACGATCTTGAAATTTTCAGCCTTTCTCATGACAGCGCGCAACACATGAACGCCACACCAAATGATCTGGCATAAGGGGATGGCTGTTTCAACAGCATTTTGTGATTTGAGGTGCGCAGTCCATTGAAAATAAGATGGTTCGCGATTGATGGAGCCAAAAATATGCTGTGAGACAAACTTGTATATTTTCACTTGTGTCGGGCCAAACGAAAAAATACAAAAACGGAAAAACAACTGATTCCGCGAATTTGCCAGTGACGGCATAAAATGGTATGCGAGAGCGCAAGAGCTTATAAGTGGAATCAATTATGATCTTTGAAAATTAGGTGAAATAAAACTAAACATAAATGTAAAACCAGGGATATGAAATTTTGGTTGTACACCACTTGTATGTGCCGGATACCATTGTGTCAAATTTTTTCTGAAATTAACTTTAAAAGTACTAAGTAAGATCATGAGATATAGCAATATATGTTTAAACCAACTTATATTTTGGTTGTACACCACTTGTATGTGCCGGATACCATTGTGTCAAATTTTTTCTGAAATTAACTTTAAAAGTACTAAGTAAGATCATGAGATATAGCAATATATGTTTAAACCAACTTATATTTTGTTGTACACCACTTGTATGTGCCGGATACCATTGTGTCAAATTTTTTCTGAAATTAACTTTAAAAGTACTAAGTAAGATCATGAGATATAGCAATATATGTTTAAACCAACTTATATTTTGGTTGTACACCACTTGTATGTGCCGGATACCATTGTGTCAAATTTTTTTCTGAAATTAGCTTTAAAAGTACTAAGTAAGATCATTTATTTTTGCATAATATAATGCCAATATGGTTTCTTTTGATTTTATTTCATTTATAAGCAAATCAGATTTACCCAAAAACTCCACTCCATAAGCGTTCATTTGCTAAATTAAAAAGTGACAATGGGCTAGTCTGTCCCTTTCTCTTTTTAATATATAACCTCTATTGATATGTTCTTGACTCATGAATTTAGAATTGAATGGACACAGATAGCCATATCTATACTTAAATATAATATATTACTTATGAATATATGCTAAATTAATGAAGAAAAGTAAAACATCATAATGATTATTTTAAAATTCATAATCATATATGAAAAGAGAAAGTAAATCTCCTAGTAATCCAATGCCAATAGTATTTAATAATAATAAAATATATTTTTAAATATTTTAATAAATATTCAAATATTACACATTATTTAATAAAACAATGAAGTCCCCATAGATGATTATACTATTTTTCAACTGAATACTAAATAACAAAAATTATCAAAATGTAAGATTATTGTTAAACTATGTAATGATATAGAATAATTGATGGTATTTTCACATCATACAATCATTTTGCTTTCAAATTTAAAATTTAATCAATTGCTTAATTAGTAATCAAAAGGTTGATTTATTATTCATAAAATGGCATGAAATAATATGTTTACAAAACAAAATAAATATAAGAACTTAATAAATTAATTTAGAAGAGGTGATAATTTATTTTGATCTCTCTTCTCTTTTTCTATCTCTGCAAGATCTCTGTTCAGTTTTTTAGTACACTTGCCAATACCAATTGTTGCGATAGTATGAAAAATTGCAGCAGCTATTATAATATATGAACCTTTGAGAAAAGTTGTAACAACATCAAAACAAGTTAAGTGATCTTTAATCAAATCTTCTTGTGAAAAGTATTCTTTTGTTATAATATCAACAATATCACATCTATCACCGACCATAAACAATGCAAGTTGTGATATCTCCATAACAGCGGCCACAATTGATATAACAAAAACATCTAAGCATGCCCATGAATACATATATTCACATGCTCTTTCGATGAAGTGAATGTGCTTCAACTTCAATGGAATGAACCATAAAATACTAAGACAAACCAAATGTATAATTGGCATCAAATTTGTCACTAAAATATAAACAGCCTGCGTAATCCTTATCCCAAAAGAATTTTGATTTTCTGCAGCTTTTGGGAGTTGAATTGCCAAATCGATTGAAGAATATTCTCTGTATTGATCTGCGTTAACAAGCTTCAAAGCCCATCCAGCCAATCCAACAAATTTGAATGAAAATGCTTTCATATAAGTTCCGAAAATAAACATTATTATTCCGGAGAGCATAATAAGTGAAAGAAAAATTTTCCATAAAAAGCTCTTACAATACATAAACAGAGACAGCTTATGTTTCCCATCGAGTTTGCTTTTCTTTTTCTTATCCTTTTTATCATTCTCGTTTTTCTTCTTTGGTTTTGGTGATGGAGCGTTTTCATTCTGATCATCTTCCTCAACAGTTTCTAACCTCTGCTGGTTATTTTTTGGCTTTTTTGTATTTTTCCCAATATTTGAGAGTTTTCCCTTCTTCTTTCCTTTCTTTTTGTTTTCTGATTCAGAATCTGAATAAGAATAAGAATATGAATAGGAATAATCCGAATAATCTTCTTTATTTCTCTTTTCTTCTTCTTCTATTATTAATTGTATTTGATGATTTAGCAATTCTTTTTTGTCAACATACCTTTCAGCCGCAAGGATTACTTGTGAACATCCTAGTGATAAAATTGTACCCACAACTAATGTTACAAATCCCCATGCTGGATAGACAAACAAGTTTATCTGCAAAATATTGTAATCATCTTCGTTTGGAGGTAAATTAATTTTCATTCTGAAAGCAATAAGCATTAGAATCATAACATAAGAGTCAACTAATGACCATTTACCAAGAATGTCAAGAATTTCCACTGCTTTTTCCCTTTGATGAGGCTTAATTTTTGTGGTTGGGAGACACCATACAACAAACATGAAAATTATTTTTGTATATGGCCATGCGCATGACATGATTGCAATCAAGACAGTTAGTATGGTTAACTTGGGTACGGCGGCACTGCGTTCCACCTTACCCAACTTAACCTTAAATATTTACAAAACCGTCTGACTTCACTAATGACTTCACTAACGACTTCACTAACATTTTCACTAACGAACTCACTAATGTAAAAATAAACGTTCTCACTATCGTTCTCACTACCGACTTCACTAATGTTCTCATAAATTTTCCTCAATATCTTCATCATCAGTGTTAACCCTATTGTAATCATACTTGAAGCCATAAACTTTCTCTAACTTCTTAACGTACAATTTACATAACTTACCTTCGTCATCATATGGTTTAATGATATAACTATTTCTATCTTTATACACAGTCAATGAAAAGTCAACTGGTCTCGGATGTATTTGAAAGAACATGTTATGCTCAGGAAGGAAGAATAAATGTTTAAATGTATGTTTGTTATATGTTTTGATTTGTATGAGTTGCTTTTGTTCTGTCATTTATATAAAAATAAAATAAAAAAATAAAATAAAAAATAAACTTAAAAATTAATGATATCACCACCCTCACACGTATGAAAACATCCATTTAAATTTAGGGTAGAAGGTTAGATCTAACCTCATTTCTACCCTCATTTCTAACCTCATTTCTACCTTGTTGAATTCATTGCTTTATAACTCTCTTCCTTTCTCCAACTCTTCTAACTTCTTCCTAAGTTCAGCAATGTTGTCCTCATGAAGTTTAATCTTCCTTAATATACCTTCTTTATCTAATGGTTGCTTTATCTTTCTAAACTGAACTCTACCATCCTTCATAGTATGAATGTAAAAACCTTCTGGAATAGTTCCTGATTTAATGTATTCTACCAAAAACTTTTGTTTCATTGCTTCAGTGACTTTAGTCGTCATTTCAATCAAATAAAAATTTTAATATTAAATAAAAATAACGTTATTTTTTCAGTAAGGAAACGCAGGAGTTTTACGATTTATTTGAGGAGTAGGTTCTGGTTTAAATGTTGGAGTCGGTTTAGGAGTTGACTTTTGAACAGGAGTTTGTACTTCCATAGGTTCAGGAGTCATTGAAGGTTTTGCTTGTGAAGGCGTTGGTTTTGGCGAAGGTGTTGGAGTTTGTTTAACTTCAGCTACTTCAGTATTATTTACAACATTTGCTTTATTTCTTTTCAACATCATTACTGCTCCTGCTGTAGCTAGCAAACCTAGTGGGAGACCATATTTTATATAAGGACTTGACCAAATGCTATTTTTGACAGGAGCTGGTGGAACACCTAACCTTGGTGAGACTGCTCTTTGCCATTGTGCAGCTCGTAAGAAATATTCAATAGGTGCTCCATAATCGTTTGGTAAAGTTTGTTTCATAGATGGTGAAGGTTCACGAGAGCTTGATGAAGAACTCATTTATAAGCTTTAAAAATAAACGTTCATCCTTTATTCCTCACTGTCGTCCGCAGCTAAGTTATAGTCATCTAATCTTATTATTGGGATTCCATTAGCACGCACCTGAATGGCAAAGCAACAATCCCTCATAAATCCAATAAGTGGCTTTGGTACATTTTCAGTTGCTAGTTCAATAGGTCCTTTAACAGACAATTTGTATGTTATTGGAGCAGTAGATGTTTGACCTTGCTGGAAGCAAAAGTCCACTTCTGTTGGAAAACCACATAAGAAATGTGTGTTGTCATAGCTATCCCATTTATGTTCCACACTACCATCATCCACCAATGACCTCATAACATCTTCATTAAATCCTATCATATCATTGTTTGTATTGCAGGCGTTCGCAACCATTTCATAAAATACAGGTCCATATGATTTTTCAGGTTCTGCAGGCATATTTCCATAAGCTCCCATGGAAAGCTGAAGATATTTAAACTTAGGGTTCTCAAAATTAACATAATAGTTGTCTTTCTTTCTAAATAGTGCCCAAATACTTTTAACATTAATAGGCGTATAAGCTGCTGTAAATGTTGCACTTGAACTATCTGTATTCTTTGAGAATGAACCGTCCATAGGAATCCAATCCATAACTTTAACAGGAAAACATAAAGCCTCGTTTGTATAATGTTCTACAAGTTCTGTATAAATGTTAGGGTCTAAAGAGAATGACTTTGGATGAATGAAACATTCATTAAAATCCATCTTTGTTCGAAATAGTTGCTGGGTTACAGTTGTAATAGTAACTGTTCCACTAGCTTCTACTGCCTTCGTTATCATAGTGAATGGTTCATTCCATGGAACAAATTTATTTGTCGGTGGATTTGAATCTGAAGCAAATGCAACTTTAAGAGTTGGATTGAAAGCAATGATATCATTTACAGATATAGATGTGCATTGTAAGGCGTCGCTACTGAACTTTACTTTAAGCTGAATGTTTCCTGCAAAAGCTGGAATAAATCGAATAGCTTCTAATGGAAGGAATCTTCTAACAGGAATTCTTAAACGAAGCTTAAAATCAAATGATTTTCCTGCTGTAATTGGACCACTAACAATTTGTCCTGTTCTGCATGTTCCCGAATGACTCCATACATCTTCATGTCGAGTCTTTGAGAAAACATCTACTTTCTTTATTTGTTCGGTAGTTTGTGAGTTTGAAGTTATATATGCTTCTTCTCTTGCGTTGTCTTGAGAATATACGATACGACCATTTGCAAGGATTTGATATCCAGCAACTGCATAGAAAGCGTCATCGAAACCAATCCAAAATCCTGGTGGGTTTGTTTTATTGGAACCTGAACCAATTTCTTTATCTACAATAAATTGACCTTCCATTTTATACGTAATGAATGTATTGTAAAGGTCCAACATATTTTCACCAGGAGGTGAGAGATTGAATGTTACCCATGTGTTATCTTTAGCAGTTCCAGGTTGTGATGGAATCTTTGCGTCAGAATATTTTCTATTAGTGTCACCAATTTGAACTGCATTGTCTATGATATCGAAATATGAGCGAATCTGATGAATATGCTCTGCTGGAGTAAATTCGTTTAACTGTTCGTTCTGCATGTATTTACTTCGGATAAAAATATCTATTTACTTCATTATTCTCACTCTTCTTCTTGGCATTCGTGGTGGAAGTTGTTTCTTGACATTTTCAATGAACTGTACATTCTCTTTTGTCTCAACTTCTTTCACTGGTGGGTCAGGGTTCTTTGACTCGGTTTGCTTTTCAATGAAATTCACAAACTTTGCAATAAGCTCTTGGTTCGTTATTGAAAGTACATCTGGCTTTTTTTCTTCTTGTTCTTTTGGTGGCTCAGTTTGAACAGAAGGTTTTATATGGACTTCACCCTTGCCATGCACCTTAATGTTGTCGCTTTCTGCATTCGCTAATGGAACCTTTCTTTTTCTTACGTATATTTTACCATCTTTACTCTGACTTACGTAATAGAAAGGATGTTGTATTCCTCTTGCGTCATTTAATATAATAGACTCTCGCTCTGATTTTGACAAGCTCATTTTACACCGGTTAAAGTTTTAATTTTGTTTTTTATCTGCAGTCAAATGACTCAGACAAGTCCTACGGACAAGACCCAAGGGGTCATAGATGTTGAAGCATTGAAGAAAGAAATTCGTGAGCAAATTTTATCCGAACTGAAGGAACAAAAACAAGAACAAAAGCCAGAGAGACCAAAGAGAAAACTTAGTGAAAAACAACTTGCTGCATTAGCTGCTGGAAGACAAAAGAACCCACGTTTGCTGGCGAAGAAAGCTAGAGAAGAAGCAAAAGCAAAGGAAGAACAAAAAGCTAAAGAAGCTGAAGCAAAGAAAGAGTAAATGGTTTATTTTTATCCGAATTAAATGTATAGACAAATACCTTTATCTGTTGCGTTCAGTAGTGAAAACCCTGACGTTAAAATAAAGGGGAACAGAGTAACGTTTAAGTTTCCAACAGACTGGATTGTGAACATAAATGAAGAGAAGTACATTGGCATAACATCTATGTATATAACACGTGCTTTCAGAAAGGTTGACTTTATACTTCAAGTCGAGATAGAAAATGACGAACAGTCTTTAAGCGCCCAAAACATTCACATATACAAATACTTTAAAGACGATACAACTTTACAAGAATGTATGATTTCATTTAATGAGATGTTCGAGAAAAAGTTCAACATTGAAGTACAAACTTTACAGCCTTTACGTGAGTTTCTTGCACAACTGAAAGAAGAAGGTAGTCAGCCACAACTTATAGACTTTCATTATGAATTTAATGAAAATGAAGATGGAACTCATGACTGTCAGTTTGTTATATATTCACCATTCAATGAAGTAGCTAAAGAGAAAGAAAATCCATTACGTATAAGGTTTCAAATCTCTGAACCAAGTGATGATTTCAAGAATGTTTTCAATTATGATGCAATGCTTCCGAGGAAAAATGAATTTTCAAAGATTGTAACACCTGGCATTTGGGATAGAAAGCAAGCTATATTATATTCAAACTTAAGTAAGGGAGTTGAAAATGAGTTCATTGGTCATACAAGAACTTCACCACTTCCTAACCCTAAATACTATAAATTAACTGGCTTCAATCGTGAGTTTTGGATAGACATGTTCTCCACTCATGACCATAACTGCCCAGTGTTCTTACCTCCAGACCATAAGGACTGTCTCTACATTGAAGCACAACTCTTAAACTCTACCATCGCAGTATTGTAAATGACCACATGGGCTTCACCCTTGCCGCTAGCGGCTTATTTTTATCATGAATGGTCTCACTGCTGACAAAAATAAATGACCTCATTATTTTTCTCATTCATGACCTCAGAACTTAAGCTTTCTTATGAATGAAGTCTTAGTCTGAATAGAAAAGTTAAACTTTTCAGCAAAGCAAGGTTGACATGACTTACATAAGTCAAATCCAATCTCTTGACCGTCATAAAGTGCTTTATATAACTTCATAACACTGAACTCAGAATCTTTGTCATATGTTCCTTGCGGAACCATTAAACCTTTAT